AGAGAGAAACGTAAAATATATTTTTAGAAATTAAATCATAAATGTCAGTTTTACTCTCTAGACTGTGTACCTATAAGCAAAACAAATTATATAAACTACATTTCCCTATCTACTGTCATTAATTTGTGGATTTCCACAGACAGACTCCTACCGTCTCTGTTCTGGGGGCTGTGATCAGACTGACCCACATTTGCAGAGAATCTGTCAATCATGTACTTTTGCTAGGTGAATTTAATGGCCAATCAGCGTCTCGGAACTATATGGTCTTGGGGCGCTGAAAATACTGCGCTTTAACAGGCTTCTGAACCCAAGCGCAGGTGCAGACAATGAGAGGGACGATGGCGAACGTAACAAGGAAGATGCAGCTTCCACCAAATTCGGTGAGATCCTTATTTATCTACCCGTTTGCCGGAAGAACATCCCTGTTGTAGGATATGAACATTTCATGTCATGGTTATTGTGACTGTGACGAATCCACCTCCTCGCTTAAAAAAACCTCTCTAACTTTGCGCGCCACACACACGTTCCTGTTGTACTGTGTTTGTGAGGACCAATACGCTCGTGCTGAGCCCAGTAGCTCTATTAACTTAAAACACACAAGCTGTTCCTGATTACCTGCTGGCATATTGAGGGTGCACACTTAATATTTCAGTGGGGTTAGCCGTGTGTGTGTGTGTGGGTGGGTGTGGGGGGTGTGGGTGTGTGGGTTTGTGTACGTGTTTATGCTATGGGGACTTGTCATCTTCAGTCTGGCTGCATCTTTGCTGGGTTCAAACCCAGTTTGGTGTAATTGAATAAGTCAACGAATCTGTGTAAAAGAATTAAGTTGTAAAAATTATTTGTTTTTGTAAATTAATTGTTTGTGGAGGTAATATATGGACAAAACTGATTAATGAGAAGAAATCAGAAATAAGAGAGCCTGAGGTGAGGGGCTTAAACTATTTAATGAGGGCTGTGGGAAGAAAAGCGGCAATTTTTGTTTTCTGTTTCTTTGTTACATTGCTGGTAACTGGAGGGAGGCTGAGGCCCAGAGTATCTTGTACATGTTTAGTTTCTTTTGCACCCTGTTTTGATTTTTTGAGCTCAATAAATCAGCAACACCGGTAACCCGACTGAGCCTGGATTATTGGAGGCCAAAGAACCCCGTCACAGTGACCCAAATCATCACTGTTATTATATAGTAAATTAAATCATTACTGTTAAATTGTATGTATTGTCCAATTGTTTAATCGAATTCTTATTCCGGATTAGTTGGAGACATACACTAGGCTATATCAGCCCCACCAAAAATATTTTTCACCAGCCGCCACTGTCATCAGACATGCTAAGAGCAGTCTGTGAATATATTATGAAAAACTGCAGGTCACGAAAGGTAGCAAATGAATCCATTGTGGGATCAGTACTGCTGGAGTGCATAGTTAAGTACAGAGTAAATCAAATATTTAAAAAAATGTAAATATATACGCTGTGTGACGTATATTTGCGCATGCTCAGAGCAGTCAAAGTAACTATCACAGGCGATTGAACTTTTTTATGTATTTCTGTTTTTTTATTTTTAGAAAATGCAATATATAAAATACAAAGATATACAAAAAGAAACCCATGCCTCTAAAAATACAAAATAATTAAAAAGTAAGAAAAAGGAAATATTGCCACCGGAAGTTATTCTGTTCGCGCACGCGCAAATGAGCTGATGGTACGGATCGGGTAATGACAAGGTTAGCCTATTTTAGCTCAGTCAGTTAGCCATAGTAAGCTACACTACTTTTAACTTTGTGTCAATAACAACTGTTTGTGTCTACAACAAGAATATCTGTTTTCTTTGTCTAAAATCGTTTTTTTAAGATGCTCTATTTGGCCTCCTCTGCCCTCAAATCTTAATAAACAGAATAAAAATAAGCTGAGACTTTTTGTGTCTCCTTGTTAAATAGCAGAGCTCAGTCTGACTTAGAAGGCAGTGTTTTCTTTCCAGACGGACAATGATTTTCCATTTTCTAGGTCTGGTACCTAGCCGGACTCGAATCTGTGACCGTCGCATCAGTGAGCAGCCTCCCTACATGATTTGCTCTGCACCACTGCTGCGCCTCGTAACACATCTGCTCCACCGCTGCACCTTTCACATTTTCTATTTAGTTTTTAAATCGGTTTAGTTAAAAAGTTGGTAAAAGGTTCTTTTAGCAGTTAGCATGCTGGATCAAAGAGGCTGGAAGTCATTCTTTCCAGTATAAATTAGTTGTAATCCAACTGATGCAGAAATATCCAAATGATTTTGAAGCTCTGGCCTCTAGGGAAAGCAGCTCTAAGTGGATGGAAATGTTTGGCCGCTGTGTCACGTATGCCTCATAAAGCTGACTATAAAGCGCGGCTCCTTGGCCTCATTTCTACGTGGGACTGCCTGAATGTTAAACACTTAAACCAGACAAGGGCAGCCATGAAAGCCGGGTGCAGCTTTATTTTTACTCTCAGCAGTATGGAAAACCTCACAGCCTGATAACCTGGAGGGAACATACAAGGTTTCTGGTGTTAGCACAAAAAGTTCTAATGTGTTCAAAACAAGCAACTGTAATTACTGGACTTATGATGATGTCTGTGACTTTTCTACTGTTTGTCTCTGAGAACATTCAGCCGAGAGAAACGGCTAAAGCAGATTTATTTAATAAAACAGCAACTAATTAAAAAAAGGGACTTAAAAAACAGTTTTATGACTGTTAGAGCTCTTAATCATCGCTGCTTATTTAGTGTAAAATAAGATCAGTCGTGTTTATAGCTGGTAGTTTTACTTAGTGTTGACAGAAAGACAAAAAAGTTCATGAAGTGCAGATATTTTTACCTCAGGTCATCAAACTAAGAATCTCAAAAATTAAATTAGATTTCAGCACGCCTAATTATTCCAACTGCTTATATATTTGTCAGTCATTGGTTTCTTATGTAATAGACTAAAGCAGCTTAGTGATCAGCAGCCTGTCAGTGCAGAACACAAACATCAGCGAATAGTCCAGGTCAGTGGGACGCTCCTTCCTGCGATGCATCCACTTCCTGTTAACGCTTTATTGTGAAGACATTCCAGCCTCTGGAGCCACAGCTCCTTCTGATTTATTTTTTAAACTCTTTAAGCTTCACTATCTGGCATTAAGTGGGTCTTCACACAGCTGCTGGGGCGTTGCTGGCTCTGGGACCCGCATGGAGTCATTATATCTGCTGCGTCATCAACGGCGTTTTATTTAGGAGCACCGGCCTCTTTACGCATCATAAAATACCGTTAATCTGCTTTAACTCTGTCACACAAAGTTCCCCTTTTCTCTTCATTAACATGTGGTCAGAAAACAAATGTCAGAGAAGAAAAAATATTTTTTTTATGTGATAATATACTTATATAGACATTTTTTACAGAGACAGCCTGTAGCTGCTGCTTTGTTTTCCTAACGGCTCTTTGTAGCGTCAGCATAAAGGGAAACATCTAATCAGGAAGTGTCCAGGATGTTTGGGGTCTACAAAGGAACTGCACTTTTAGGAGTTTTGGCTCAGAAAAAGCATCAAGTCGGATGCTTTGTGGTCAGAAAAATATCTGAACAACCTAACTGATTGTTTCTCTAAGCATTAAAAAGAGAAGCACCTTTCTTTCAGTCAGCTGAGTGGCAGTGCTCAGCAGTAGCTGCCTGAGATGTTTCTTGGAAACTTTGAAACCTTCAGTTTCTCTTCCAACGTAATAAAGATCATTAATGGTTAATTGGACAAAAAAAAAACATGCTACCATAGGAAACCAATCATGGCACAGCAGTGTGATCCAGTCTTTGGTTGATTGGTTGGCTCATCTCGGATCTAGTTAATGGTGTTTGGGGAGAGATGGGTTTACTTTTTCGTTAACTGGAGTTTAGAGACTCTAAAACGTGCCTTTAGCTGACAGAGCTGTAATTAGGGCTGCAAATAAAGATTATTTTGCAAATCGATGTATCTGGTGATAATTTTTCCGATTAATCGATTAATAATCAGATAGCAAAAGGTTTCTTAAAGAAGACTAGCTAAACCAAAAATTTTTCCACCCGAGTAGTTCTGGATAGAGCATACTGACAGACGAAAAAGATTATCTTAAATGCAAAATGTTTACATAATTTCTTTTTTTTTAATGTTGGTATAATTGCTACTCAAGGTTGGTTGCTCAGCTAAAGGCTTGTTTTAGAGGCTCTACACTCCAATTGACGATTAATCGATTACTAAATTAGTTGACGATTATTTCAATAATCGATTAATCACGATTAATTCTAAAAATTGTTTCAGCCCCAGCTGTAATTATAAGAAAAATGTAAAAATATATGTAAACTTTTTGCATTTAAGATAAAAAACAAACAAAAAAGAACCCTTTTCATTCTGTCAATGTCCTCTATCCAGGACTCCTCAAGTGGAAACGTTTTAGTTTCACCTGGTTAATAATTCAGTAAAGTCTTCTCTGAGGAACCTTTGGCTATCTGCTTGTTGATTGAATAAATAATCAACAGATTAATCGATTTGCAAAATAATCATTGCTTTCAGCCTTACTTCACTGATCTTGGAGCGTTTTCTGATTTAGGGGCCTTAACAGCAGCTGTCAGCACATCTAGATGATGAACATCGATAATCAGTGTTAGAATGTGGTCGTTATTTCAGAAAAGCTCCTTCTTTGTTCACTTTGTGTATTGAAAGGATTCTTTGTTGAAGTTTGAAATGATATGACATGTTTTCACAGTCAACAAATCTAAAGTTTAAGGTTTTCTGACTGTTTATTCTTCAGCCAGGATAACGGAGAATCTAAAAGCAGGAGGCTGTGTAATCAGTGATGTTTCTCTGTATCTCTGGTTGTGTAACGGGGGAATTTGGGATGGAATGAAAGTTTTGTTTACTGCTTGTTTCTGCTGACAGCCATTGATTTATCGGAGGTTGCGTCGGGGGCAAATCGAACAAACTGAAAGTGTGACTTTGTCTCCGAGACTCACCTTCTGCCCTCCATGTCTTTATGTGCCCTTTAGATACCTGTCATCCTGTGGGATCCTGATGACGCGTGCGCCTCCTCTGCTGGGCGCAGCAGCCATGCCAGGCCGGGCCGTCGTCCTGCCGGCGCGCAGCTTCTTCAACCTCACAGACTCCTTGTCCAAGAGGAAGGAGTACTCAGAGAGACGCATCATCGGGTACGTTGGCTCTGACTCCATCTGCTGTTTTCTGGTGGAGGTTTTTCAGTCTGTCGGCTTCAGGCAGCATTAGGTGGTACCTTGAATGTTGACGGGAGCCCAGATTTGTTTCTCTTATTTTGAATTATTCAACCATTAAAGCTGTTATCATCAGCCCTTCATCAGAGCAGTTAGAATTACTCGGTTTATTTAGATGATATTCATGTAAAGTAATGGGACCTGTTGGTTCCACTAAGGCTGAATTACATTCCAGCCGTTAGCACATTGATTCTAGATGAACTACACCTCATTTCTGCTGTTTCTCTCCAAACATTAAGTGGTTCAAAAAAGAGAAACCTTTGAGCAGCTAATTTTAGATGGCACGCCCGAGGAGCCGCTGCTGCTGGAGGCCAGGCCAGGTTGATTACAGGAAAGAGAAGAGAATCGGAGGAATTTCTGCTGCACATTACTATATTTGGAAACTAGTTGCTTTTCTGTGTAGAGAAGCAACTCCGTCGTTAAAGAATGCGCTGCGCCGCTTGTTTCTGACAGAGGGGGTGGGGGTGGGGGTGGAGGCCTCTGCGTGAGCTGGAGGAATTTCCAAAGGAAGCATCAGAATCACCTTTTACCCAGAAAGTGTTTATGGTTTGTTTAAGGAGAGTTCCTCTAAATCCACTCGGCCTCCTGCTGGATTCACAGAAAGAGGAACATTTGTCCTCAGAGTTAAAGTGTTTCCACAGAACGCAGAAACCTTCCAGTCCGCCCGCCGGCCGTCCTAACTCTGTCTGTGCATAAAGGAACAGCAGCCTGTTGAAGATCCTCTGTCATGCTTTGGAAGGAACGGTGGCTCATAGGGGCCAAGTCAGGTTCAAGAAACGGGAAACGAGTTTCTTCCAGGCAAGTGAAGAAGCTGGAAGAAAAGTTTTTTTCCCCTTCCGGAAGAAAGTGGAAGAAAGTCCTGATAATAGATCATGTTTTGGAGATCTGGGAACGTTCCAAGGAAAAGTCAACTCTCTATATCCACCAGGCTGCACGAGGAGCCATCTTTATGAGAATAAAAACAGTGATTAAGAATTCATAACTAATCAGGGAATTAAATATTTAATACAGAAGTGATCATTTACTAATAGCTTTTAAATGGTAGGAAAACGTTTTCTTGTATGCTCAGATTACAGCTGCTGGCTTTTTTTCTGCTGTTCATGCCCCCAAACCCAGCTCTTTTATTTTTTATTCTTTATTTATTTTTATTGTCATTTTTATTATCGTTCCACTGTCACAAGTACAGAGCAACGATATGAACTCTCTGCATTGAACCCATCCCCTTTGGGAGCAGTGGGCTGCCATGGTGCGGCGCCCAGGGAGCAGTGTGAGGTTAAGGGTCTCGCTCAGAGACCCAGAGTGGCAGTGGGGATTGAACTCAGAACCTCTGGATTCAAAGCTCTATGCCCTAACTACTAGCAAATATGGAAGATTCCTGGATAAAAAAAACACATTCCGGAAGAAACTTCCAACCCTGTTGGGAAATAAATGAAAAAATGAGTCAAGCCTGTTTCCCACTAAAAAATTGTGCAGTAATGCTTATGTTTACATTTGATCACCATGCTTACATTTTATCACTGCTACACTTTAAGAAACGGAATTGTCTTGAGAGCTGTACCGAACGAAATTTCATTTTGTATACACTCTGTGTTTACAAAACGACAGTTTGTCTAAGTCTAAAAAAAAGAAAAAGTTTTCAAATGTGGGTCGACCGGCTAGAAATCAGCATTTCTCTCCCTTCCCATTAGGGGAAAAAAAGCTGGTCTAACCCCTCGCTGGCCGCTGCGTGTCCATTTACGCCATCACGCTGGGTTAGCGTTGATGATGTCACCAGTGCGACAGAAATCAGGAAAGTAAACGATGGAGAGTGTCGCTACCCGATCCGTAACATCATTTACGCAACCAGATATGCATGCAGGTGTCCATAAATGTCTTATTATGGTTCTAGAATTACTTATTTATATCTTTAACTGTATAGAATGCTAATACACATCTTTAAAAATGTTTTATGACTTCTCTGAATCAATTTTTTTTTTTTTGAGTTTTTTCGACAGTAGGCTGACAGGAAACAGGTTATGTGAGAGGGAGAGAGACATGTGGCAAAGGAGGTCGGATTTTAACCGCCGTCTGCCGCGTCGAGGACCAAGGCCTCCATAAATGACTTGGACAGATTTATTTTTGTCATTTTCTTTACACATTGTAAACAAAATGAACTTTTATGAAGAACAGCTCTAGACAATTTCATGTTTTTTAAAGTACAGCCTTGAAAAAAATACATAAAAACAGTAATATAAACATATGACTGTATATTTACAGTTTTTTTCCTTTTTTTATTAATAAAATATAATAAAATACAATAAAATAACCCATTTTACATAACATTCAGCAGTCTAATGGCGGTGAGGAAGAAGCTGTTGTTGAATCTGCTTGACCTGCATTGAATGCTGTGAAGCCTCTTCCCAGAGGGCAGCAGGGACAACTGTCCATGGTGGGGGGGTCATTGATGATGTCACGGGACACGCAGCGCTGGGATGAAATAACCACTGCTCCACCAAAGCTCACGCAGAGCCGAGGCGATTCTAACGTGGCTCGCTGAGTCGTTTGACCCGCGTAGACACGCATCCATGAGCTGCTCCCACTGCCACTAAAAGCAGATTGTTCCCGGGTTTAAACATGTCACTGGGAAACGGGTATTATAGATCAGCAGGAGGCCTGGGGGGGATGGGTGGAGGGCGGCAGCTGAAACGTAAACGAGGAGCTGTCAGCTTTCCGTCCTTCACAGGTTGAACTCTCAGAATAAATGGCAGGAAAACTAAGTGAAGCACTCAGTGTTCCTCTCAGAGGCCGTAATCACTAAACATGCAGGTATAAATAGACACACAGCAGGTGACAGCTGGACATTGTCTGACCCCCATTCTGCACGTCCTAGCTCTACGTCAGAGCTCTGTAACAGAATCTGCCTCCCTGCTCCTCTTACCTCATTCAGAGGTGTGGCTCATGAGTTTACACAGACCCGTTCAGTTTGCCGTTGCGTCACCCAGGCATTGACCCCCCTCCCCTCTCTGTTGTCCAGGTATTCCATGCAGGAGATCTATGACGTGGTGGCCCAGGTGGAAAACTACCGCCACTTCGTTCCCTGGTGTAAGAAGTCAGACGTGGTGTTCCGGCGTTCTGGTTTCTGCAAGGCCAAGCTAACCGTGGGCTTCCCCCCCGTGGTGGAGAACTACACCTCCCTGGTCACAACAGTACGACCCCACCTGGTCAAGGTAAGACCAATAATCAGGGCCTAGTTAAAGGGTTTACACCCTTTGCACCTTTGGTTTTGTCTCAGTTAATAATTGTGCAGAAATGTGAGGTCAAAGAAATATGAGGCTGTTTTTTTTAATCAGTAGATACAAAATGAAGCTGAAAGGTGTGGCTGGCATTTTTATTTCACCTCATTCCCTCTGGGATCCCTGAAGGGAAGCAGGTTTCTGCAGGAATCTTTAGTTATTAATGAAAAGTGTCTGATATACCTTAAATGTTGCTGTTCTTAGAATAGAAGGCATCATGGCGGCTTTAGGGGGGATTTTGGGGGCTAATCAGATAAAATCCACCAAGATTTGGCCGTTTCTCAATTCACAAGAGCACGAGTATGAGCTTGTGTTCTCGCCAAGCCTGTTCTTGAGAAGAACACAGGAAAGTCTGGACTCTGGGAGAACGGGAGCACGCAGAATAAATCTGGGTCAATTGAAACAGAAGCGTACTGATGACATCACCGCACACTATGCTAGTCTGGAGCTGCATTTCACCTCCTGTTATTAATAGAATATAGATATAAATCATTAGTTTTTTTGCATTTAGTGGAGGAATAATGATTAATACTGTCAAATAAACACAAATCAAATTAACGTTTTGTCAAATAAAACAAAAAAACCTCCATCAGAGCCAGCGATCCTTCCCACACAGCTATGCAGAGAGATCTGCAGACGGGCCAACGCTACGCTAGCCCTGGCCGCTGCAGACGGGCCAACGCTAGCCCTGGCTGTGGTTAGACTCTGAGCTCTGCTGGTTGCCGCGGTCCTCTCAAGATTATAACTTTTTTTTTTAATTGAAATGATTTTATTGAACAGAAACAGGAAAGAGAACTTTTACCTTAATCCTCTGAGCTGTGTGAGCGCTAACCTAGCTGCTGCCGCAGTGCATGCTGGGACAGCTGTCAGTCTGAAGAACGGACAGGTCTGCTCTGATGCATGCTGGGTAAAGAGGGAGGGACCAGAACAACATCCGGGGACTTGTCCGTTCTCGGCCTGCTGTTCTTGTGAATAAGAACAGCACTAGGGCTGAGGCTGGTGACGTTTCACGAGGACACGAGAACGCACAAGAACACAGATTGAGAAACGGCCTTTAATTAGTAAACTTTAAACACAGTTATTGGAAGTTTTCCTTCATATTTAAAGAAAAAGCTCCTTTATCTCTTCGCTCTCTACTGAAGTTTGCTTGCAAAGAGAATCTAACCTTTCCACAGACTTGATTTCTCTGTCACCATGACTTTGCCATTTGAATATTTGCGAAACTTCAGCTTCCAGTAGCCTTTCTGAGGCTGGATTCTCCAGCTGGGCTAAGGCTCTGTTCTTGTTCTCACTGCTGAGGAAAGATCCAGTAGAGCCAGTTCTTCAGATAACCTGATGCAGCTGGTTATGAGGGGGAACGGCAGCGAGGAGCCATGTTATCAGTTAAAAAGGTGAACATTCCCCCTGTGGCGTCTCCAGAGAGGAAAGATAGAAAGAAAGAACCGGTTCCCATTCCTCAGACCACGTCTGGAGTTACTTTAAAGGCAGAGCCTCCCAATCAACGCAGGTGAACTCTGGGCTGAGTGGAGATGAATCGGCTAGGCTAAGCTGCTGCTAGTTTCCACTGAACTCCTGCTACTACCTGCACAATCAGGCCTCAGTAGGTGGTTTCCATGACAACCTAACACCAGAGATGACAAAAGTACTCACTTTCCGTACTTGAGTAAAAGTACAGATACTTATGTTAAAAATACTCTGGTAAAAGTGGAAGTACTGATTAAACTTCTTTACTCAAGTAAAAGTAACAAAGTACAGGCTTGTAAATTTACTTAAAGTATAAAAGTAAAAGTAGAAACCACTTTTTTCATGCCGTTGCCTACATTTTAAATGGATGTCTGCCAATAGGACTAGATCTCCGTTGTGTTCATTTTCAATCATCTCGTCGTCCATGCTACTATGCTAACGCCACCGCCACCAAGCTGCAATGATTTGCCGCCAATAGATACCGCCGAATCTGTCGATTCATCTTGTAGTGGTGCGTCAAATGCAACGTAGATTCCCATCCAATTAGAGTGAATTTGGTATTGATGACGTGAAAAATAATAACGGTAACTCCATTGAAATGATTCAAAACTAAAGTAACGAGCCAATTTTTTTAAATGTAAGGAGTAGAAAGTACAGATATTTGTGTAAAGATGTAAGGAGTAGAAGTAAAAAGTCGCCATAAAAATAAGTAGTAAAGTAAAGTAAAAATATCAGAAAAATCTACTTGAGTACAGTAACGAAGTATTTGTACTTCGTTACTTCCCATCTCTGCATAACACACACATGCTTTGGAGGTGCAGTGGTTCACACACATGACCCATGTATGGAGTCGACGCGGGCGACCAAGTTTCCAATCCAATCTGTGGTCCTTTGCTGCATGTCCCTCCCCCCATACCTTCTTTCCTGTCATCCCTGTTATCCAAAAAACAAAACAAAAAACCAAGCCACCAGTGCTGTAAAAAACTCCCAGTAAAGAAAAAAGACAAAATTTGATTTAGTAAAATAGGCTAAGGATCAACTTACACATACCTCCATTAAACTTCTCCCAGCAGCCAGTGCTTCCTGTCTATATCGCAGATTTACTAACCTTCAGGGTGGTACGTATGCAAGGGTTGTTTTTTTATTTCCTTAATAGAAGAAAAAATAAATGCATATTTTCTTTAGAAACTTTGCTCCCAGTCCTATTTTATTTAACTTCCTAAGAAATAGATTATTGTATATTATAATATATTGTCATGTACCCCCTGCAGTGCACCCGTGGACCACTAGGGGTACAGCTGCCCCCGGTTGGGAATCGCTGATCTACAGGCAGACCGATTCCCTCACCGGCCGACAGCTTTGGCCGATATTTCTGCTTGGATATGTTGACAGATTCATTACAGCATTTAGCAGCCGTGCCTTAAGATCCGCCAGGCTGCTACCAGTTAATGTTTGGTTTGAGTTGGTAGGAAAACATCTGCTTGTTTAAACTGGGACGTGCATAACATCTGTCATTGTTTTATTTTATCATTTAAATGGAGGAAGAGAAAAAATTTGGGTCCCGTATTAGGGATCAGACTGATGCCAAAATAATCATTACCAGCATTCCTATAGTCAGTACGCGTTTATCTTTTTCGTTTAGTATGAAAAATACACTTTAAAGTACCTGAGGGGGCGTGTAGCCCTTTAGTCATGTACAACAACAAAAATTTGAGGTCAGATCTGCACACGCTTCAAAAAACAATAAGTAAGTAATTAAATAGTTTTGTGCATGACTAAAGAGATATACACCCGTTGAGGTAGTTTAAAGTGTATTTTTAGTACAAAATGAAAGGGATAAACTGAAGTAGCATACGTGTATGCAGATCTGACGTCTTGCGCATGCATATTGACTGATAAACTCTATCAGTCTGTCTCTGATCTTTATTAGTTTTAATCCAATGAAAAATAATCCTCATTAGAATAAAAAAATTAGGAATTAAAGTCGACATCAACAGGAAGGGAACGCCGTAAAGGGATCTCCTGTATTTATAAATGTATGAACCTGGATGGGAATGAGATGAAGCAGGTGAGCCGTGTCGTACGGAGGTCAACCTTCCTCTCGGTTCCCGACCTTCCAAACAAAGCGGTGAATTTATTTAGCAGAAATGATGGATGGATGAAGCTGGATTAATGAGGCGTTCTGTGCAGACAGAGACCAAAACAAGAAAAGGAACCCTGGGTCAATTCAGGGACAAAAAGTCCAGTTTTACCAGATTAATAATATAATAAAGATCCAGACGGATGGAGTTTCTACGTTTAGACATGGATGATCTCAGCGGGGTGAAATAATCTGACTTCATATAAGTAAAGGACCTAATAACAGATAAATGATTGAAAGCTCTAAATCATCTCGTGGTCATGATGGTTGGATCAGCCTGACATGGAGGAAACCTTCAGGCCAGCGGGCGGAGTTAAACGTGTTCATGACCTGCGTGTGTCTGCTGCTCCTCAGGCGTCCTGCTCAGAGGGGAAGCTCTTCAACCACCTGGAGACGGTGTGGCGCTTCAGCCCCGGCCTCCCCGGCTACCCTCGGACCTGCACTGTGGATTTTGCCGTGAGTATCCTGCCGTGGCGTCGGCTCCGCTCACCGCTATTACGTCTGGGTGTTCCCCCCCCCCCCAAGTTTCAAAACGACGAGACGTCCGCCAACAAGCTAACGCCCCCTCCTTTCTCTCCTGCAGATCTCCTTTGAGTTCCGCTCCCTCCTCCACTCTCAGCTCGCCAACGTCTTCTTCGATGAGGTGGTCAAGCAGATGGTTTCAGCGTTCGAGCGCCGCGCCTCTACGATACACGGCGCCGAGACGCCCATCCCCCGGGAGCTGATGTTCCACGAGGTCCACCAGACGTAGCACCCAGCCCCGCTTCGCACACTAGCAAAACGCAACGCCAAAGAGACGGAGGACGGCCCCCGTGCGCCGACTGAGAACTGCAGTGCCTTTCCTACAACAGCGAACCCTTTTTCCACCTCAGATTTTAAACCTCGGTGCTAAACCCACGCAGGCCCCAGCCGCCGCCGCCGCTGCTGCGGAGCGGCACTGACATGATCACGAACTGTACGCCGTCACATCTGACAAAGAACCATGAAACCCAGCTGGAGCCAAAAAACAGAATGAACATTTTAGCCTTTTACTAAAACTTTCTACCGTTCATGAAGTGACCTTTTAGGAGCGTTTCCTGGTTCCAGCTGGTCAGGGGGGGCATCCCTCACTCGTCTTTGTCAAATCTGATTTTAAAGATGCCCATTTGGGCTCTGAGCGAAGCTTTCAGGGCATTTGGATCAAACTGAGGAGTTTGTTTTAGGAAAGTTGTAGCAGTTTTTATTTAGTTCCCTTTGAAGCATTTTCTAACCTCTGACTTTATTTATATCTAAACACAAAAGGCTGAAAGCAGAAGATTATAAAAAAAGCTAGAAATTCAAATAATATAGTAAGCTAACGTAGCGTAGGAGGAGAGGAGACGTGGCAGTTGGTACTGATGAAGGATCAGCTGAACGGTGTTCAGCCGGACCGCCATCCCGTTTAACCGCCGCAGTCCGACTGGATCCAGAACCGGATCCTTCTCTGGTAGAAGAGAGACTGCAGGCGGACGTACTGTACTGACGGCGCCACACGCCGCACCCGAACGGTTAATCTCTCCGTTTTCATCATCATCATCATCAATGTTGGGAGGCGTGGCTTGTTTCTGCTGAAGACAAATTCAACAGAGAAGCATGGCGGCGATTCGTGGAGAACTTCCTGCTTGATCCTGGTTTTTATTAGAGTCGCCGATATGAAAAGCTGGGCTGATATTTACTGACACAGCGCTGACATTAAACACCCACAATCCTTTGCTGCGGCTGCAGGGAAATGGACGTGGATCTTCAGCCTGTGATCATCCATCAGGGAAACCCTCCATCGCTGCGTCTCTGATGATCCAGCTGCTGTCAAAATGACAAAGATTCGGTTTCCTTTGATCTTCTGCTGAAGTTTGCTTCTGGTCACCATGGAAACGTGTCAGACTAAAAAGGGAAGAAAGTATCTGACCAGCAGGTGTGAGAGAAACGCCTTAAACTGCTCTGAATAAATGTTCATGTTCGGCCCGTGTTTCCATGACGACCTGAAAGCCTCCCATCAGCTGTTCCCGCCCACGCCGGCGGCGTATTTATCACCGTCATTTTATTCTATTTATTGTTTTAGCTGTAGATGTTCTCTTTCCTTTCGGAGCTGATGGTTAAGTCACAGGAAGTCTGGTTCTACGACCGCCGCCGCTGTCCGCCGTGTTCCGATCCAGCCGATGGCGAACGTTGACAGGCAGCTCAGAGTGTCGCTGTGTAAATAGTTTGAAGTTCACATGAGGCTGTATTCTGCTTTCAGAGAAACCGTGTGTCTGTTTCTGGTGTGTGAAAACGACGATGTACCAACTGCATGTTATATAAAGTTATTTTTTCAAAAAAAAAAAAAAATCATGACTGGTTTCTTTTTCCGCTTGGTGTCGGTTCATCATGACAGAAGCAAAACGAGCTAATGATGAGGTCATTTGAAAATATCTTCCTGACCTTTGACCTGCTCAACAGTCAGGTGTTTTTGTTACTAAAAGCCTCCATTTTTCGCTGAAGCCGCTTTCAGATAAAATTCAAGGAAAGCTTCTTTAGATGCTTTTTCAAAGTGTCCACTGGGTCCAAAGGTCAGGCTGCAAAATGACTGACTTGGTCTTTTTAATGCTGGGATCTTTAAACAGCTTCATGTCAGAAACAAACAGTTTTAGAAAGCGGTGATGATGCCATGCTGCTTCAGAGGGCCTAAAAAAGGGGAAAAACGATGCAATTTAAAGTTTCTACAGAAGACAATTATGGAAGATTCAAATTTACATCCTCCTCCTCAGCATCTACTGTATACAACAAATCACCAATGGGCTAAGTCTGAATCTTTGATTTTTGCCTTAATCATTTAAAGCAGGTCCAACAAATGTCATACTGACACCTGCTGGACATTTAAAGACACTACAGGCAGCTTATGACTGGACTGAGCTGATTCGATATCCTAGTACACTGATATTTTAAGTTATCGTAGGTTATATATTTTATGTTTAAAAATATTTTTAGATGAAGCCCATAAATAATGTAAACGTGAAAATTTAAGGAATATGTGAACGAGGATGCTTGTGAACTAGGATTTTAAATCATTTTTAAAACGAGTACAGTAAAAACAGTAAATAGTCAATTTGAAATTTAATCCAGATAAGTTAAGTGATATTACAGGCAAAGGATGATACAAATTAAAATAAAAACGCAATGGCTGAAATGATCCTATTCCTTTTAGGCTGCTCCAAGATTCTGGATAATTTTAACGATAAACTGCAAAAAACTACTTTTAGCCGAGTCTTCATGTTGACACTTTTTTTTTTTTTAATCACTGTTAAGTTAGTCAGAAATAACTCCTGGATCGGTCACATGACTTTCTTGAACTGACAAGATGGTGTTTAGGACTAAGGTTCCACGCATTAATGGACACATCACTAGTATTTCATATATAGTATTTAATCATTTATTGAAATTTAATCCCTCCGAGGGAAAAATCTGCTTAATTCACTGAAATTTAGCTTTTAAAGGAAACACTTAAACTGAGTATAGAGACAATGATTTATTAAATAAAAAAAACAAAAAAAAACAAAGATGTCTAGTTAGACAGAAGTGACCTGCTGACCACTTCCCGGAACACAGGCGCCACCTGCTGGCTGCTTTCATGTTGGTACAGGACAGAGTTTCACATTCAACCAGCACGGCAGAAGGTCTCAGTAAACATTTGGGACTTAGTCGTCCGTCCGTCCGCTCGTTTGAGGCACTCCGATTCTAGACGTAACAAAACGCTCAGTCGGTAAGAAAACTGGTTTAATCCGGATCAATCAAGACAGACGTTTATATTACAAAACAAAACATGAAAAATTAGCAGAAAACTACAAAATAAGAGTCCAGGCATTGACAGAGAAGCCCCCCCCCCCTCCCCCATGGTCCATTAAATGGTTTGTTTCAGCCTGCCAGAGGAAACCGGTTTGGTTCAGACCAACAAATGAACTTTGGAGCAGAAGGTCTGATGTTCTCCTCCGCAGTCAACTGAATCTAGAAGGTTCTGTGCACGCCGCAGCCAGCAGGCTGAAACAAAGCTGCAGTTTCGGTTTAATGAACCCCATGTTAGCGTTTCCCTCTGAGCTTGTGACGTGACGAGTTTGGTGCCAGTGGAACAGGGAGGAGGACTCTGGGGCACCAGATGGGCTGTTAGCTCTCAGTCCGCCGAGCCATCAAACCATGTGACGCTCCGGATGAATCGTGGTCCGTCCTCCAGCTCAAATCTGATGATTCAGTCTTTCCAGGGTCAGGAGGCCCGGCTCAGAAGCCCATGCCGCCTCCCATTCCTCCCATACCCCCCATGCCGCCCATGCCTCCTGGCATCTCTTTTTCCTCCTTAGGGATCTCTGTGACGACGGCCTCGGCGGTGGAAAGAAGAGAGGCGACTCCTGCGGCGTCCATCAGCGCGGTCCGTACCACCTGCAGGGGGAGGAGGAGAACAGGAGAGAAAAAGCATGATGCTGCCACCGCCATGCTTTGCTGTGATATTTTCAGATCATTTTGAACCAAAAACTAGAATCTGAGCTGCTTGAACAAACATCTGAAGTGTATTAATAAAGTGTCTGAACCAAAGGGGTGGATCTATTCACTCCATTTCTATGTTAAATTTAAGTTAAAAAAATAAAAATTACATATTTTTTTCAGGCAATATCATGACTTTATGGCGATAGTCCTTTCCACCAAGCATGTCAACACTCGGTACTCCATGGTTTCAGTTTTTTTTCCTGACCTTGAAAGCCTGTTTGTCCCGATCAGGCGCTGCAGGACTTTACTGCTAAACCTGCACAAAACAAGTTCTTACTTCCACTATAATGCATTCATCAGGGTTCTAGCTGGAACTCTGTCCTCCCTTCTGTGTGGTGCAAACCCACTTTAATCATATCGCCACCTAAAGGGCCGGAGGGAGAAATTTAGCCTGTTAAGCCAGGCGTAAACTGTGCGATATTTTTAATCGCTCACAATGTAAGATGAAACCGCAGGGTTTAAAAGTTCACAGCTCACCATGTTTGTTCTCACGCTGTGCGACCCGACGCTCTGATGCGATCTACCTGCTCACGTTGTACTTCTAAACACCAGGTGGGACTCAGCTCCGCAGTGGGATGGCGCTACTCGGACTCGTCTATCCAGAAGAAGGAGAACTCCCCCTTTGCCCATGCGCAGTCCGTAAGGTTCTGGTAAATCCGCTCTCAGCAGGATTTACCAACGGCCGCCTCATGACGGCCGACTGGATTTCAAACATGTTTGATTTTAAACTGACCTTATGATTCCTGATTGGGAGGTGGTCATCAGAGGCTGATCGCCCCTCGTTACCCGCTGTATACTACACCACGCACCATGAAGCTGAAACTCAGCCCCATCCCCCAAAAAAATATATATATGTTCTTGCACGACTGGAGAATTGGTCCGAAAAAAGGACAAACGTACAGTGTATGCCCGACGTGGCCGCATGTCTCTGTCTCACACGTCCTTTCCTGTCAGATAACTGACGGAAAAAAACTAGCCACTAGTGCCGCAACAACTAAACAGAAATTCTGTTCTAAGCAGCAGAGATTTTATTCCAGACTAAAATGTAATTTTGTTTTTGACACGAGTAATAAGGGTGTGCAAAATAATCGTCATGACGATGCATCGCGATTCTAATTTTTGTGATCTACTGCATCGATTCTTGAAGGCAAGAATCGATTATAAAAAAAATAAAATAAAAAGAAATGAACAAATATACATGAATGGTTGGCGCACATCAGCCAAACCAAGTGGAATACAACTTCCAGTCCAGCAGATGTCGCTGCAGATGTGTTGACGCCACAAGCATTTCCGGCCGTGGGATACTGTGACGAGTCATGGGAAATAAAACATGGAGGACACTATGAAAATTCGCCCTGCGGTTCCATCACATTTCAAGTCAGATGCTTGGATGCATTTTGGCTTTAAAAACAAAGAAGGTAAAAATAAAATTGATATGATGCACGATATTCATTTCATTGGTTTAAAGGACCACTGAGGCCATGTAAACGGCTCTGATTATCCTTATTTGTTATTTTAAGTTTGATGAATCCTAAGATCTTTTTGTCAGTGTGTCCACGCCAGTAATAGTAATATTTCTGTCCAGTGTTTGTTTCCATGGCAACACCTCCAAAAGTCGTTTCAATAAATACAGCTATGTATGAATTCAGTTGCTTTCAGTTATGTATCAAATGAAGATCCCAATAATTTCACATATCTGAACGTTAAATTCAACAGCTCCTAAAATCAGCCGCTGATATCGTTTCTACGTTTCTACTAGTAGATCTACATCTTTAAGATTGAGATCAGAAATTAGTTCAGTTTCAAATATCCAGAATATTTATTTCAGATTCTGGAAGTAAGAGTCTAATCCAGATGAACGGGAAAAGGAAGAAGTCGATATTAAATGTCTGAAATGTTCGTTCTCAGCTGATGGATGCTGGGTTGTCCTGCCGTCGGGGGCGGGGTCGTACCTTAGTGGGGTCGATGATGCCCTTCTCCACCATGTTGACGTACTCCCCCTGCATGGCGTCATAGCCCATCTCCGGCGCCCCCTGCAGGATCTTCTCCACCACCAGGGAGCCCTCCACGCCGGCGTTCTTGGCGATGGTCATGGCGGGGATACGCAGCGACCGCCTGATGATGTCCACACCTGAGGGAGAAAGTCGGACGTCGTGACCCGAGCTTGTAGGCTGCACCTGCTGTAATGGGCGGAGCTAGGACTCACCGATCTTCTGGTCGCTGTTGGCGGTCTTCAGGGCGTCCAGGGCGGGGATGCAGCGCAGCAGAGCGCATCCTCCGCCGGGAACGATGCCCTCCTCCACAGCGGCCCGGGTGGCGTTCAGAGCATCTGTCACTCGGTCCTTCTTCTCGTTCACCTCAACGTCGCTGGTTCCTCCCACCTGGAAACCAGCAGAACCGTCAGCCCTTCCTGCGTTTTAACGAATCGTTAGCGAGGAAGCGGCGCTCCCCCTACCTTGAGGACGGCCACGCCGTCAGACAGCTTCGCCAGCCTCTCGTTGAGCTTCTCCTTCTCGTAGTCGCTGGTGGTGTTCTCCAGCTGCTCTACGATCTCAGCCGCCCGCTTCTCGACGTCGGCGGGGCTGCCGCCGCCCTTCAGTAGCAGGGTGTCGTCTTTAGTGATCTGGACTTCGCCCACTCTGCCGAAGTCGTGAGCTTGGATGTCCTCCAGGGCCAGACCGAGAGCCTCATCGCCAAACACCTAAAGACACGGAGCAAAAACCCGGATCAGACTGGAGGTCCGGTTCAGAAACGCGAGCAGAGACTCTGAACCAAACGCACCGTGCCGCCGGTGGCGACGGCCATGTCCTTCAGCTGGTTCTTCCTGTTGTCCCCGAAACCTGGAGCTTTGACGGCGACCACCTGGAGTCCAACCTTCAGCCTGGAAGGTCGATCGTCATTAACCAGGATGCAGAACGCCTGCCTACAGCGGCGAAGGAACGACGGAAACGTACCTGTTCAGAACCAGAGTGCTCAGCGCTTCTCCGTCCACATCCTCGGCTACAATCACCAGAGGTTTGCGATGCTGGTTGGCGATCTCCAGGGCGGGCACGATGCTCTGGACGCTAGAAATCTTTTTCTCGCTCAGCAGCAGGTAGGCGTCCTGGAACTCGCACTTCTGGCCTGAAAGGAGGACAGCGATTGGTCAAAACAGGGCCGAACTCTGACCCCGGGTCAGTGCGTCTGAGGAGACGTTACCTTTAGCCGTGTTGATGAAGTACGGAGAGATGTAACCACGGTCGAACTTCATGCCCTCGATGATCTCCAGCTCGTCCTGCAGCGTCTTCCCGTCCTGTTAAACACACCATGAACTTAAACGCGTCATCCACGGCGTCCTCAGACTCATTCAGAGGTCAAACAGGAACCTACCTTCACGGTGATGACGCCTTTGCGGCCGACTCTCTTCATGGCGTTGGAAATAATGTTCCCGATTTCCACGTCGCCGTTGGCAGAGATGGTAGCGACCTGCGAAGACAGAGCTTCGCGTAAACGTCTCCTCCTGACGGTTGTGGACGGAGCCGACCGGAGAAGCCGCGGGATTTCCTACCTGTGCGATCTCCTCGGGGGTCGTGACGGGCTTAGAGAGGTTCTTCAGCTCATTGATGACCGTCTCCACGGCCATCATGACACCACGGCGGATCTCCACGGGATTGGCGCCTTTGCTGATGTTGTCGAAGCCCTCCTTGGCGATGGCCCGCGCCAGCACCGTGGCCGTGGTGGTGCCGTCGCCGGCCTCCTCGTTGGTGTTGTTGGCCACGTCCTGCACCAGCTTGGCTCCGATGTTCTTGTATCTGTCCTTCAGGTCGATGCTTTTAGCCACCGTCACGCCGTCCTTGGTCACCTTCGGACTGCCCCAGCTCTGCTCGATGATGACGGTGCGACCCTGAAAGACACGGCGGGAACGGTGAGTCCTCTCTGAGGGACAGCCTACGGAGACCTGGACGCGCAGGGACAGACGTTACCTTTGGCCCCATGGTAACGGCCACGGCGTCGGCCAGCAGGTCCACCCCCTGCAGCATGAGGGCGCGAGCGTCCGCCCCAAACTTTACGTCCTTGGCGTACGCCCGGGTGAGGTGAGGAGCCAGCGCCCGGCACACGGGCCTCACCTGCTTCATGACGGTAGGTAAACGAAACATTTCTGGGAAAAAAAATACAAGGACATCTTAGATGAACCAACCACTGATCTTCATTTATTTACTGAAATGCTGATTGGCCTAAAAAAGTGAAGCCACCATCCGCCATGCTGGTACTCCCCACTCCCACAGAGACACGCCATCTCAGACTTTGAGACATTGACCGAGTCAGCCATTGTGTCCATTGTTAGAAAATAGAATGTAAAGGAAATGGAAAGTAATTCTTTTTAAAATGAGAAATATAAACACTACAAGAAAAAAAAAAGACAGCGTCCTCCATTTAATAAAGTCATGTGCATAAATATATATTGGATATTATTTTTCCGTCATTTTTAACCCTTTCTATGCCCTAACTTTAAAACTAACTCTAAATCTAACCTTAGCCCTGATCCTAACCATTAGCACAATGTCCCCACTTTGCAACAACTGACCTCTAGTGGCTACAGGTGGTATGACAGGGTGCTGGTGAATACATAATCAGGTTACAAAAGCTAAACCCTGAATCACAGTGAAAGCTAACATCCACCATGAAGCTTTCAGCTAAATTCTGGTCCTTTCAGGAACAGACGGCGCCGCTCTGCTTCTTCTGGACCGACTGAACCGATGAATGAATAACCGCCATCTCCAGAGCTCAGATGTTCATCTGCAAGTTAATGATTGAACAGCTGAAGGTCCACCCTGACAATCAACCAACTGAATTTAGTCCTTTCTGAAGATTAAACAAGAAAAATCTTTTTATAAAAATAAAGATTAAAACACAAGAAAAATAGCTTATTGCAGCAGCAGATCTATTATCAAACTTAAATCATTGTATTGTTTTAGCACCTCTAGTCACCTCACATTAAAAAGGACTCAGGCTGGTAAAAAACAATAGTTGCAGTTTATCAAAGAGTCACTGATCCTTCTCAATCAACTCAAAAATTACAATTAATATTTTAATTTCAATTAACCAAAACATTATGCATCCCTCCCTGGGAGGGAAGCGTTTTTGGAACTTAACTTTTATGTATTTTTTTTCTTATAATTAAACCTAACCCACAAACAAAGAACAGAAAATCAGCTTTACTGCACAGCAGCAGTAGAAATATTTTGGGGTTTTTCTTCCATTACCAACCGTGCAGTTCTGATCAGCATAGCTCTATATTTAATCTAGGGGATTAAATTATCAATAATTGAAACAGTTGAACATTAAACCTTAGACTAGTAACTCTATCAGGTAATTATAGGAACAGTTTAATATAGTTCTTCACTTTCTTTATGGGGAAAATTAAACCGAATTAAGTTTTATTCTGCAACTTAAGTTACGTACGTTAAAAAACTGCAGCTTCACGCATAAAAAAAAAAGTTTGGTTAAATTTTTTCGTTTTTTTTTTTTTTAAACAGAAAAAGCCAAGAAAGGCTCCCACGTGGGGGCCCCGAGGTCATACGTCACAAGGTCAAAATGTAAGAGTAGTAGGAGCACGTGCGGCTGCCTGCACGCTGAAGCTGTTAAGGACGGAAAGCGGAGTTAAATTGGATGAAGCCGACATGACATCAAAGTGACATCAAAGCAAACCGATCGGTTCATGTCGTCAAGCACGAGACGATAATCGGAGAGACACCGATGGAGGCTCGCGGGTAGCTGGTTAAAGTCGGTGGAATCCGTAGTGCCATTTTTCCGTCCTTGTTGAGCAGAAGGAATCTGATCCGTTTGGATTAAAACAGCTTCAGCCGCGGGGAATTCTGCTGTGAAATCACGCGCACCCTAACCCTGAGCCGCGTGGGCCAACGCTGGTGGAGTTTGAGTGCTTACCTGCTGCGAGGTAAAAGCTGCGAGCTCACGCCACACGGAGCGGTTAGACTGGAGGAGAGGACGGAGGAGAAGAGCAGAAGACAGACTGCATGTGGGCTTCTACATCCGGGTTATGTACCGGCCCGCCCCCAACCATGAATACATCAAATATATCTCACCAAACCGCCCTACTACGATTTATACATTAAATCTGCATTTATTCTATCGGATTAAAATATTATAACTTAAAACGATCGGGTTTAAAAACGTTATTTTTTGTTTTATGAGAGATTAATCCAAAATCAACACCAATACGCTCGTTCCCGGGTGGGGGCTTCCAGAATTTTCTGGCATGCCATTGGAGGAGCGAACGAAGGTCAAAGGTGACGTTGTGCAATATTGCGCAACATTAAAACGTAAAACTTTAAAATAACTCAAGTTATAATATTTTTTCCATCAATAATGTCTGTTTTAACCTCACTGTATGAACATTTTTTCATTAAAAACGGTTTTTTTAATTGATTCTCGGCTGAACTAGAATGTTCTGTGAGACACGTCATGATGAGGGCAGGTAGTGCGCATGCGCGTTCTGGAGGTTTCCTCACGTGGAGAACTGCAGGGAGGCTCAGATCCAGACTCTCTGGCTGCGGTGCTGCTTCAGACAGGCTCTCAGACTGCGCTCCCATCCAATAATGGTAAGAAACACCGTCTAACTCCTGGAGACGTTCACAGGCTAATGCTCGGAGCTCAAATAGACCAGCAGGGACCCAGCTATACTCTGGAAAGTCATTTTCCCCTCTTTATCGAGGTGTCGGCTAGCGTTGTGTAAGCTAACATTCATTCACAAGGTCACGCTGCTGAGGAGAGCGCGTGGGGGGGCTTGACCACATGTTTACCGTAATATGTGCTGGAAATGGGTAAGAAGCACATATATGCAAAAAATTATATTACATTTTAAACGGTTAGCTGATGCAATTAGTGCTATAATGGCCTTAAGCTGTGGCAATGATGCACGCGCTTTTCTGTAATACCAACTGTATTCCTGCTGCTACATTTGCATATTCCGTGGTAGGCCAGGGTGGGAATCGAACCCGCGACGTTCTGGTTGCTGGGATTCACACCGTCAGACCTTTCCTCTCCGGTGTTAGGTTAAGGGGTGTCCGAGAGAGAGAGAGACCAAATCGTTGCAGTGGAGAAATTCCTACATCCATGTTAACATTTTAATTCAGTTTATTTCTATAGCGCCAATTCACAACATGTCTTCTAAAGGCACTTTCCAGATCATCCAGTCAGATTGATTCAAAGTTTTCTATCTAAGGAAAACCAGCTGATTGCATCGACTTAAAGGCAATCCCTCACACTAAGCATGCTTGTAGCGACAGTGGAGAAGAAAAACTCCCTTTGAACAGGAAGAAACCTCCAGCAGAACCAGGCTCAGTGTGAGCGGCCATCTGCTGAGGCCCACTGGGGTTCAAGGGGACAGAAGCAGACATAGAAAAAGAAGCATAGATACAAAAGGCAACTGTCAACCAGCTCCACAGGCGGCCCCGTCCAGGAAACACACAGCCAGGCAGACGAGCTCCGAGCCAGCTCCCATGTCAGAGGATGAAGAGAGCACATCCAGTTAGTCACAGTCAGAGAAACAGGACTACACTGGAAAAGAGACCAATCTATTAAAAATGAATTAAGATTAAAAAAGCAAGTTTTGACTGTATTAGTGCAAGAACATAGAAATACAACATTAAATGTGGTCTTTAGACTGAGAAAACTCCTTTTAATCAAACACTTTCTCTGACATCTCAGGGAAATAATGGGACTTTATTTATAGTATTTAACTTTTGCTCCTTATAAAAATAAACAGCAACCAATCACCGTGTATTACGGTAAACTTCTAAATTTGAAATTGTAGTTAAACTAACTGCTGGTCATGAGTTACTTAACCAACTTTTAATTTCCCTTTGAGATTTTTATTTGAATTAAACTGAAGACCCTCAATTTTATAAAAGGTGTTTAATGTTTTAAAAGCTAAATCCAAAATGATTTAGATGTTTTGTGTTTTATTTATGATAGTATATTTATTTTCTTAGTTCCTTTGACGGGGGGGTTGGTGTAAATGTGTTAATGCAGCTGATAAACAGTGAAGGCTCTCAGTAGGTGGGGGTGTTGAACCTTCTAGAAAGCGGCCCCTCTCACCCTGACAGTTGTGTCGAGCTGAAGGCGGTTTGCTCAGGCCGCCAGGACGATCACTGTTGGTTTTTCAGGAGGTTTATCTCTGAGGTGACCCGTCCTTGACCTCTAAGCTTCAGGGTCGAATGATCAGAGTGAGCATGGCTGTCCAACCCCCCACCCCTCCCAGTCCTCCTCCACTCAAGGTCACGGTACATCTGCTGTTCTCAGCAGTCACAGCCTTTAATCCTTCAGGAGCTTCTCTAAAATCTTACAAAATACCAGATAATCTGAAATTTCTGTTCCGACTAACTAATAACGACACTAAATCAGTCTTTCTAATTCCTGCAAGTCGTTGATGTAGGCAGAGATCTCAGATTTCATTCAACCAGAGCAAATAAATTTTTAATTTAATCTATTGTTTGAAGAAATGTGTGCAGAGAAAATTCAGTTAATCATGACCTTAAAATGTTGAAGTTCTCACTTTTTCAGTACATTTTGTGGTAAACAAATCAAGCTGTTAGTATATAGGAAGTCTTGGGGATGCAAGTTATTAATTAATGAATCTGAAGTTGGTTGATGGTCACTTTCTTAAAAAGTAACCGATAAACTTAATTGCATCAAGAGGATCTTTCCATTATAAGAAGCGCTAAATTAATTTTACGATATTCTAAATAAATGTAAAAAAGTAAATCAGGTAGTGTTGTTTATTAGCTTGGAGCAGGGATGGACATTTGTCTCATTAAGAGAAATGTATCATAATTAGAATATATTATTCTGATAAGTTCTAGTTTTCATTTGAGTTTTTAAACTGTTTCTAAATGCTTTCCAAGTATGACGAGCTTATTTGCTTTGTGTGTGCTGGTAAGTAATGTTATGATGAACGCTGCTGAAGCATGTTGAGTCCTTGGGGGGCCGTCCTTAACCCAGAGATCATTGTCTCTTTCAGGCCTTCAGGAAGTTCCTCCCTCTGTTCGACCGGGTGCTGGTGGAGCGCCTCACAGCAGAGACGGTAACCAAGGGAGGCATCATGCTGCCAGAGAAGTCTCAGGGCAAAGTGCTGCAGGCCACGGTGGTGGCAGTCGGCCCAGGCTCAGTTAACCAGGTGATCCATTGGTTTTGACCCGCGCTCCAGGTGGCCTCCGTGGTCCCAGACACTAAAACCCCCAGGAAATAATTTGAAGGCTTAATTACTTATCTTTGTTTTATTGTTACCTTTATCCGGACTGAAGGCAAACGGTCGTATGGCTATAAGCTAGTTAGGTTCATCTCTATATCCTCACCTCAAGGAACCCTCCAGAGCTAACGGCCGTTTGGCCATCAAGTCAGTTTCATACCGAGGCCTTTAGCTGGGGCTGAAAAGGTCAACAGGGGACATGGGCCATTTCTCAATTCACAAGGACATGAGTACGGACTCGTATCCTTGCCAAGTATGTTCATGAGCAGAACAGAGGAAAGTCTGGACTCTAGATAATAATAAATTCTTTATTTTCATTTAGTGGGGGAATAATGTTTAACTCTGTCAGATAAACACAAATCAAATGGAACATTTCACCAAATAAAACAAAAAATCCCCATCAGAGTCAGCAGTACTTAACACGGCTATGCAGAGAGAGGGCTTCCTTAGCCCTGGCTGTGCTTAGATAATAGGTCCTCTCAACATTGGAACTTTTTAGGTTACGCACTAAATCAGTAGATGTTCCGTATAGTGAAGATTAAACTATAGTTTTTTTCGCCCTCAATTTATCTTAAAACGTACTTTTATTGAACAACAGAAAAGAGAACTTTTAATTTAATACTCTGAGCTGTGTTAGCGCTCTACAGGAAGCTGCTGCTGCAGTGCATGCTGGGACAGCTGTCAGTGTCAATAACAGACAAGTCTTCACTGATGCATGCTGGGTAAATAAGGAGGGACTTTGTCTGTTCTGTCTTCTTGTGAATTGGAACAGTGCTAGGGTTGAGGCTGATGACGTTTCACGAGGACCCGAGTACGCGAGGACGCACAAGTACACGGATTGAGAAACAGCCAAAGTCTAAACCTAGAACCTCTTAGCAAACTGCGTCAGGCCCTGATCTACTGGTTTGGCACCAGTTAGCCTACCTGCTGGTTTACTAGAACGGATCTCAGCCATGGGTCAGCCTCTGGCTGCTTCCCTGCTTTTAACTATATTGTAACGTTTTATTTTTTACTTTTGGAAGAATAATAAAAAAGACAAATTAATTTCACAGGATCATTAGAGATGAACTTTTTTTTTTTGATATTTTTTTTTGTTTTTCCATCCTCAGAAAGGCCACGTGCAGCCGGTTAGTGTGAAGGTCGGAGAGAAAGTGCTGCTACCAGAATACGGAGGAACTAAAGTAGTTCTAGATGACAAGGTGAAGCTCCGTTCATCTCCGGCTCACAGCCGATGCTTTGTGTTTTATTTTAACGCTTTGTCATCGGTTTCTCTCCGTAGGATTATTTCCTGTTCCGTGACGGAGACATCCTCGGCAAATACGCAGAATGAGCTCTGATGCTAGCTCGCTTGTTTCTGGTCTGTCATCGCGGTGGAGGAGAATTAATTTCATTCATGTCTGTTTTTTCTTTTTTATGTCCCATAAATTGTAAATAATTCTAATATCATTTTGTTACAATAATAAAGTCACTCAGCTGTTATTTTTTTTGTGAGTGTGTTTATTGTTTTTGCTCTTTATACACCCTTTGATGTGTTCTCAGATTTTAATGGCTAACTGCAGCTTTTGCTGATTGGAAAGGGGGGGGGGGTGTCAGCCTTAAACTGTAAATATTACTGCAGCCAACGTCGTTTAGTAAAATAAAATTATCTCTTGACACTTTGTCAATTGAAAAAAAAAAAAGCAATCCAGAATTTACAGTTAACTTTAAATGTACTTTTGAAAAAAGTTACATTTCTGGATTTATTCAATTGATTCTCCAATTACAAAACTGTTATTTTCTTGTAACAATAGAAATAAATTCACACCATGAATTATTTTTTAACCAATCTGGTTATAATCAAAAATGATACACTAAAAAATGCAGCAAGTATTTGTCCTTAATCTCTGATCTAATTACAGCAATTAAACTCCCGACTCGGTTATGTATCATTTTATTTTTTTTACAAAAACGGAAAAACATTGCAACTGAGATCTGAACGTCTGATCCCAAATATTTTCAGTGCCAACATTTGACAAAATGACGCCCCTTAAGGCTTAAGTTGATTTGCTCTACGTTTCCTGATCAAGGGAAAGTTACCACACTAGATTAAACATTTCCAGTTATAAAAATATAAAATGTCTTAAATATGCTCTTACTGTCCAATCCAAAAGCAACGTTGGATGAAATTATATCTTCTGAAAAAATCTAAAGTTGCCTGCAACAACCCTGATCAAACTGTGTTAAAAATAGTGGTGGCAGCATCATGCTGAGGAGATACAGGAAAACAGAATCTGGCCTGATCTATTGGACAATGGATGATGCTAAAATAAGAAATCCCAGAAGAAACACAAAGGTGGTGGTTTCTCCTCCCAGGTGGACAAAGCTGGCGTTGTCAGGGACGTTCCTCTAAATGCCCAAAGTCATTTCAACAAAGTCAGGATTTCAGGGGGATAGAAACAGATGCACGCCACACTTTTAAGGTTATCTTTTGATGTTCTTTTAACTGCATTTTACATTCACAATAAAAACAGCTATAATGCAAAAGAATAATCTGTCAGATTACACCTCTGGGGGAAATTTGATGAGGACAGAAAAATCTTCTGAAGGCTTTCCTTGATAGAAAACTATGACTTACAGTCAATTTAAAGATGGGAAAAATATATTAATATATTATATATATATATATATATATATATTTTGTGTGAATATTGGATAAAAAAACAGGAAGGTTAGTCAAAGTTACTTTAGGTGCAATAGGAGAGGGGGCATGGAAAATTATTTTTACGTCTTCAAACCCTTTGACATTAAATTTTACATATACCGACGGGTTTATTTGGTGGAAAGTTTATTTTCTGTTGAAATAAATTTAAATTGTTTGGCCATTGGAGTTTCTCTTTCTCTCTTTTTCCACTGCTATAGAAACAGTTGATAAACGGGTTGATTTCTCTGTGATTTCTCTGTGCTCCTTCTCGCCGCCATGGCCTGAACCGTTTCCGCTTTCCTCGCCGCTGACGAACATCCGGGTATTCTGTCGAGATGGTCATGGCGGAGGGAGCTGCAGTTCTCAGGAGGAATCGGCCTGGAACCAAGGCTAAGGTTGGTTTCAGCTCCCTGGGATCAAACCACATCCAGCCCGTTCAGCGGACTGTTTGACACCCGGAGGGACGTGCTGTGTTTCCCCGCCTCTGTCCGATGAGAGCCCGCTGGGAAACATCGCTCTGTCATTGGAATGTTCGGCTAGCTACAGTTAGCTTCGCTCACCGTCTAATTGCTGGGCTGATCAGCTGTCTGAGGGGTTGATTCTCTGCTCTGCTTCACTTTGTCTGGATCTGGATCCTAGAATCGCTGCTTTATTTAATTATCGATGTTTTCTTTCCTAAGGTCGTTTATTTTTTATTTCAGAAACTCAACCGTGACTTTCATTTTACCTTTACAGGAAGTAGCCTCGTCCTTGTTTACGTTGTCAGGTAAACTAGCTAGGCAGCGTAAAGAAGTAAGAATTCACTCTAACTTTAGGTGAAACATTTGCTGAGGGCAGATATTTACTGCTGAAGGATTGACAGCTAGCTGCGCTAGTTAGCATAGTTAACTAGCATAGTTAACCTGTGCCTCAGTGCTAACTGCTAACTCTAAATATCCTTTGATTTGCAGGATTTCTACAACTGGCCTGATGAATCCTTTGAGGAGATGGACAGCACGCTGGCTGTTCAGCAGGTGTGTGGAAATGGGTCCTTATTCTGGGGAATGAAGGGAGTTCAGAGCAGTGAGGAATAAACTTATCTATCAAAACAAACTCTGGGATCAATCCTTCAAAATAAAACGCCAAGTTTTAACTCTCAGACCTGAATATAATTATTATAACACTTCTGAAAATTAGATGTAAAAACATAGAGGCGGTTAAAGCAAAGGGAAAGAGATCTGCTGGTTTCTAGCTTTCAGGTTTAGATCAGAAATCAGCAGAATCTCCTCTGATGTTTCTACATGTGTGTTTAAAGAGTGGAAACCATCATGTTTCTGCAGGAACCTGGTTAATAAGAGCTTTTTCAGGTTCAGGAGCAGAGGATATGTGACAGAGAAGCTCCTGTAACCCAGATTCAATATTGGTTTTCCAAATATATTCTTAACAAGAGAAGAGTTCCAAAAAAGTAAAAAATAAAAAAGAAAATTCACTTGATTTGTTTCTGGAGTTGAAGACATTTTTCTTCGCATCCAGGAAGCTTTTCCAATTCAAAATATCAGACAAGCTTTGAGTTTGAGGCTATATAGAGTGGACCAAAACAAAGCTTTGTTTTGGCTTAGAAACAGCCAAAAAAAGCTTCCTGGATGGGAAGCGAAACGTCTTCAAACTAGGAAACAAAGTCCAGTGGATCGGTTTTTACTTTTTTGGAATGACTATGACCTGGATGACTGAGAATCTTTACCAGCAAAGAGAAGAGTTGGGTTTTTAAACATTGTTTTTCAAATGAAATTGGCAAATTAGTAAGGCTGGAAAACTTGAATTTAATGCTGTGTATTTCTGAGGGATAACTGAAGATTAACTGCAGAATAAAGTTTCCTTCTCTGTTCAGCCTTCCTGTTATCACCCTCAAATCTCACACTCTTCCAACCAGGAAGTCCCACAGACATTTGAAAAATGTGCTATCCACTAAAACAACAAAAACACAGAAAACCTTCAAGCAGATGATGTTTCAACAATTGGATCAGGAAGTAGGAAAAGGCCCAGGTGCTACATGTCAGGTAGCTTGTTAGCCACGGGTCAGGTAGCTTGTTAGCCACGGGTCAGGTAGCTTGTTAGCCACGGGTCAGGTAGCTTGTTATCCACACGTCAGGTAGCATGTTAGCCACGCGTCTGGTAGCATGTTAGCCACGCGTCAGCTAGCATGTTAGCCACTCGTCTGGTAGCATTTTAGCCACTCGTCTGGTAGCATTTTAGCCACGTGTCAGGTAGCATGTTAGCCACGCGTCAGGTAGCTTGTTAGCCACTCGTCTGGTAGCTTGTTAGCCACGCGTCTGGTAGCTTGTTAGCCACGCGTCTGGTAGCTTGTTAGCCACGCGTCTGGTAGCTTGTTAGCCACGCGTCAGGTAGCTTGTTAGCCACGGGTCAGGTAGCTTGTTAGCCACGGGTCAGGTAGCATGTTAGCCACGCGTCAGGTAGCATGTTAGCCACGCGTCAGGTAGCATGTTAGCCACTCGTCAGGTAGCATGTTAGCCACTCGTCAGGTAGCATGTTAGCCACTCGTCTGGTAGCATGTTTGCCACGCGTCAGGTAGCATTTTAGCCACGCGTCTGGTAGCATTTTAGCCACGCGTCTGGTAGCATGTTAGCCACGCGTCTGGTAGCTTGTTAGCCACGCGTCTGGTAGCTTGTTAGCCACGCGTCAGGTAGCTTGTTAGCCACGCGTCAGGTAGCTTGTTAGCCACGCGTCAGGTAGCTTGTTAGCCACGCGTCAGGTAGCTTGTTAGACACGCGTCAGGTAGTTTGCAATCTACAAATGATGGTTCCTTGGGAAAAAAAAATAAAAAATTGAACTTTATTGATCCCACATTGGAAAAATTAACCTCTGCATTTAACCCATCCCCTCGGGGAGCAGTGGGCGGCCATCGTGGGGCGCCCGGGGAGCAGCGTGGGGTTAAAGGTCTTGCTCAGTGTTTTATTTAACTGGAATAAAGGAAAGAGTCAAGTAGGGCTGAAACAGTCAGTCTGACTAATCGTGATTATTGATTGTTGAAATAATCGTCAACTAATTTAATAATCAATTAGTGGTTAACTGGAGTATAGAGACTGTAAAATAATCCTTTAGCCGACAGAGCAACCCATTTGTATGGAAGACCAACTCTGCCATATTTAAAAATAAAAACATAAATAAATAAATGCTCAATAAATAAATAAGCATACAAATAATTGCCACCAAAATAAAATAAAAAAATAAATGGTGGAAGAAATTAAATTATACAGTGTTTAATTACCTATATTTTTAAGTATTTATTTATGTGCATTTTATAATATTTTTGTCTGTTTTATTCTTCCTTTGTATTATTTTACCCTAGTTATTTCTTCGCCACTATTTATTCCTGCCCTTTTTACATTTCTGTCTGCATTTCTGCCTAATTATGCAGATAAGGAGGGGGCGTGTCCAAGAGATTATTATTATTATTATTATTATACCAAAAAACAATACAATAAAATTTTGTCTTTGAGATAAAGAACAAATGTTTAAGATTCTCTTCTCAGAACTCGACCACTGGAACATTTTTTGTTTCACTTAGTTTAATTTCATAAACGTCTTCTTTAAAGAATCTTTTGCTATCCGATTATAATCGAAAAACTAATTGACAGATTAATGGGTTTGCAAAATAATCCTTAGTTTCAGGCCCACTCTAGACTAATAATCCTGCCCCTGTAAACAATTGGGTTATACTGTGGTGCCGTTGTTGGGGTGAAAACAATCAAGCGGAAAGCCATTGTTTTTCAGATCAGGGTTAAAACTGGAATGATTGGATGCTTGTGTCATTATCTAGGTTCAACTGCAGCTAGATGAAGCTGAATAGCCATTAAAGAAAAATAGATGACCTGTATTGAATTTTTTTGTTTTAAATAACATATTGTCCCCTTTTTTGTCCCAGTACATCCAGCAGAACATCAGGTCAGATTGCTCCAACATTGATAAAATCCTGGAGCCTCCTGAGGGTCAGGATGAAGGCGTCTGGAAGTATGAGCACCTCAGGTAAAGAAACCATTTGCCTTTTAAACGCCCTAAGCTTTGATTCTGCCACGTTAAAAACGTTAATCAAACCACTTGTGATAAGTTAAAATCTTGTTACATACTTAATGTTCATAAACACCAGATTACTATTTGAATCTACTGAAAAAATGGCTGCTTCTTATAAAAAATCTCCTGCTTTTACATTTAAAGGACCAACTTTTATTTTCTTAATGACTTTACAGCCTTATAGAGGGATTATTTGTTTATCAACACGGCGGATGCGCGCGCATCTTGACTGCAAAAAGTGCCGGGTCCTTTGAAGCGTCTGGTTGAATGTTGTGATTATACGCGGTTATTCAGCAGTTGCGATCTGCTAGCTAGCGATGTTGTCAGCGTACTACAACAGTTTATCACCTAGTGATAAAATAAGTTATGCTGCTAAATTAACACTAGTTAATGCAATACGTCTTAATGACCCATACGCGTTACATGCCGGTGAGTGGATAAATGACGAGAAAAAATGGCCCAAAATTCAGTGGCTGGACATTCATTCCCACTTGTGCAAAGTGCAATAGGCATTTCCACTACGAATGTGCAAAAGTAAAAAGAAAGGCTAAAGAATGGTATTGTGATCAGTGCAAAAAACAGAAAAACTAGAAAAAATGCACTCTGAATGGTAAGCACAGGTACAGTTACAACTCTATGTTTCAAAGTATGCACTAAGCTTCTCAGTGTGCATCTTATGACAAGAATGTTTAATATTGTTATTTTTATTATTGGTTACATGCACAAGAATAAATATATTTCAATGTTTCCTTGACTCTTGAATACTTTATTAATATTTACACAGGGTGTACACAGGTATCAGCTGATTGAATTGTTTTATTTTCAATGGCAAAACACAAAGCAAAATATCTGCATATTTCATTTAAGATTTTGAAATATATCATACAACAGAGGAATGAGGAAAAATCTCAATATTCAAAAGCAAACTGGATACAACACACATTTTGAACCAAAACTGCTGCAAAATGTTTTAAACCACAGCTTTTGAATGTTCAATGAGCTTATGCAGTGAAAATACTTAGGCAATCATTTTTTTCAAAAAAAATAATATTCAATGACATTTAAACCTCAATTCATAGATGTTAACAACATTAAGGCCTTAATTTTGGCACAATTCAATTAAGGGCTTTTAATTTATTTTCTAGGGACTATGCATTTACAAATGTTTGTCAATGCTGCACAAACAATTACAATGTCATCTAACAGGTCCGCCTGTGATAAAGGAATAACAGTAGTAAGAATTCGGAAAGTTTTCCATCTCCCTATTATTCTTTCAATGTGTATTCTAACATTGGACAAACGCCTCGATGTTTCCACCTCTTGAGCAGACAACTGCTTTTTACCTTTGGTAAAGTGAGGGATCCTCAGGGTAGCACCACGCAAGGCAAGCTCATCTCTAATGGTAAAACCACGATCTGCTAGTATCTCATCATTTACTTGTAGAAGGTCATAAAATCCAGACTCGGCTGTAAGTTGTTTATCAGAAACACGCCCACCCCAACCTGCAGACAGAAATGTAATTGCTCCTGCAGGTGACATGCCAACCAAATACTTAACCGTGTTATGGCTCTTATAATTTGAATATGTTTGGGCTCTGGCTGTTAAATTTGTTGGTCTGTTAATAAAAATTTCTGTGCAGTCAATAATGCACCTGCAACGCTGGTATTTAGGTTTGAAACATTTTGGCATATTCTTTAAAATAGCATGCTTACTTGGCCACTTGATTAAAGGTTTCAAAATCTGAGACATAATAGGCAGCCAACTTCTTAAGATTTTAGAGATGTCACATTCGTTAACATTAAATCTGAATGCAATATCCTTGTTGGTGAGTCCTAATCTGAGTTTCATGAGTACAGCCAAAAGATGATCCTCTAGGGTCAGAGAGCCACGGATGACCTCAACACTTTCCTTAATCGTCTGCAGGACCCAATTAAAGAGGGCACTGGTTAGACCTGTGAAAAACAGCACCTGTGCTGCTCTACACTGCAGTGACGCAAAAGAGAACTGTGCAGCCCCGAGCATTTCTTTTAATTGTTCATTCTCTGTTTTCAGTTTGTTGATGTCCTCAGGCAGGTTATCACACTCTGTATGAAGTTGGCTGTACTTCAGCTGGAGGTCATCATTGACAGTCTTTGGGACCATACCTTCTGAAAAATAAATACAAATTTTACATTCTTATCTTTACAAAAAACAAATGGTTACATTCTGGGTGATAAGTCACACTGTGGGCAAATACCTGTTCGCAACAAATATGAACATTACTAACTGATTAATCCCACTAGTACGGAAGAGGATAAGGGCCACTGGAAAAAAAAAAGTTAACTGTTTTTTTTTTTTTTTTTTTTCCGTATAGTATGGGAAAAAAGTCAGAATTCTGAGAATAAAGTCAGAATTCTGAGAAAAAAGTCAGAATTCTGAGAATAAAGTCAGAATTCTGTGATTAAAGTCAGAATTCTGACTTTGTTCCCATGTTAAACTGAAATAAAATTTAAAAATTTAAAAAATAATTAATATGTTAACATTTAGGAACACACAGATCTACGTCCCTTTATAAAAATCCAAATGAGTTTGCAGGCCGTCTTGGTCAGGTTAGTAATAAGGTTTCATACCATTATATAGATCAGCACCAGCCTCTATTCCACACTCAGTTGGAGAGATGGAAGAGGGTGTACACTGATGTCCATCTTCTGGACACCTGCTGGGGGTTGCATCCCTTCTTCTTTTTCTCTTATATCTGAAACACACAGGAGAGAACAATCATTTAGTGCAAAAAAACCCCAAAAAAACAAAACAGTTCCACAGTTGTTATCTCCTAAATTCAAGTCCATGCAAATCACATGCTCAGTCATCCCAACTCTCCATATGAGATGTCTAATAAAAACTACATGCTCTGACCTTTAACCGGGGTAACCTACAGGTGCTGGTCATAAAATTAGAATATCATGAAAAAGTAGATTGATTTCAGTAATTCCATTTAAAAAGTGAAACTTGTATATTATATTCATACATTACATACAAACTCATATATTTCAGATGTTTATTTTGTTTAATTTTGATGATTACAAATGACAACAAATGAAAATCTCAAATTCATCATATCAGAAAATTAGAATATTGTGAAAAGGTTCCAAATTGATGGCCCCTGGTGCCACACTCTAATCAGCTAATTAACTCAAACCACCTGCAAAAGCCTTTAAATGGTCTTTCAGTCTAGTTCTATAGGCTACACAATCATGGGGAAGACTGCTGACTTGACAGTTGTCCAAAAGACGACCATCGACACCTTGCACAAGGAGGGCAAGACACAAAAGGTCATCGCTAAAGAGGCTGGCTGTTCACAGAGCTCAGTGTCCAAGCACATTAATAGAGAGGCGAAGGGAAGGAAAAGATGTGGTCGAAAAAAGTGTACAAGCAAGAGAGATAACCGCACCCTGGAGAGGATTGTGAAACAAAACCCATTCAAAAATGTGGGGGAGATTCACAAAGAGTGGACTGCAGCTGGAGTGAGTGCTTCAAGAACCACCACACACAGACGTATGAAAGACATGGGTTTCTGCTGTCGCATTCCTTGTGTCAAGCCACTCTTGAACCACAGACAGCGTCAGAAGCGTCTTGCCTGGGCTAAAGAGAAACAGGACTGGACTGCTGGTGAGTGGTCCAAAGTCATGTTCTCTGATGAAAGTAAATTTTGCATTTCCTTTGGAAATCAAGGTCCCAGAGTCTGGAGGAAAAGAAGAGAGGCACTTCATCCACGTTGCTTGAAGTCCAGTGTAAAGTTTCCACAGTCAGTGATGGTTTGGGGTGCCATGTCATCTGCTGGTGTTGGTCCATTGTGTTTTCTGAGGTCCAGGGTCAACGCAGCCACATACCAGGAAGTTTTAGAGCACTTCATGCTTCCTGCAGCTGACCAACTTTTTGGAGATGCAGATTTCATTTTCCAACAGGACTTGGCACCTGCACACAGTGCCAAAGCTACCAGTACCTGGTTGAAGGACCATGGTATCCCTGTTCTTAATTGGCCAGCAAACTCTCCTGACCTTAACCCCATAGAAAATCTATGGGGTATTGTGAAGAAGAAGATGCAATACACCAGACCCAACAATTCAGAAGAGCTAAAAGCCACTATTAGAGCAACCTGGGCTATCATAACACCTGAGCAGTGCCACAGACTGATCGACTCCATGCCACGCCGCATTGCTGCAGTAATACAGGCCAAAGGAGGCCCAACTAAATACTGAGTGCTGTACATGCTCATACTTTTCATGTTCATACTTTTCAGTTGGCCAACATTTCTATAAATCCTTTGTTTTTATTGGTCTTCAGTAATATTCTAATTTTCTGATATGATGAATTTGAGATTTTCATTTGTTGTCATTTGTAATCATCAAAATTAAACAAAATAAACATCTGAAATATATGAGTTTGTATGTAATGTATGAATATAATATACAAGTTTCACTTTTTAAATGGAATTACTGAAATCAATCTACTTTTTCATGATATTCTAATTTTATGACCAGCACCTGTATATAGCTACAATATATCAATATTTTTTCTTTGCACTTCCAGTCATACTATGTGGAGTCATGCTTGTAATCAGACAACAATCAAGCACACAGATGTGATACTTACCGCTCCAGTTTTGCAACACCGTCTTTGCCGGGCTGGATTGAGTATGGAAAGATAGACGGGACAAAGTCTGGGCTGTCGATGTCGTCTGATGCCTCTCCTGTACAAATAATGTATTGACGCAATCATCATCATCATCATCATCATCATCAACCTTTATTACAGACACTAGTCAATCAATTGAAAAGACAGCACACACAGAGAAGTTTAGACCAGACAACGTGATGATGTTAATGATAAAACTTATGGCTGACCCGATGAGTTGCAACTTGATAAGACTGAATCAAGGTACATTAGCTTGTATGCTAGTTATGCTCCAATGTGTTTTGTACGATTCATTAATCCCGTTTATATATGTAATACTTAATAATTGTATGTAAAACCATTGTTTGTAAAACCAGCGATGCCGTTTAGCTTTTTTATAGATAAGACTTACCTGATATAAAGTGATCGCTGCAGATTGATGCATTTTTAATCATCTGCTCGTTCCAATCGCTTCTTCTGATGGCTTGCAACCAAAGACGTCTCTTGTTTGCCTTGAAAGGGGTGCGAGTTGATGGGATTCGGTAAAACTTGCGCGTTTTATTGTTTTTATCAAAACGGTTCGTGCAACCGACAGCACAACAAGACATGTTAGCGGCTCTTTCTGCAGGCGACATGCGCATTGGTGCCGGAAGTGACGTAGAGTGACGTTGCCTGATAATCCCTCTATTACCTTGTTAATAGTGATGAGGAGATGAAGCCTCATTGGTCCTCGCCACCTACTGGTGGAGTGCAGAACTACAGTTAGTAGTATCTGGGACTTTTTTGCAATATTTTTTCTTCTTTTCCTATTTAGGTACTTTTGAAATTATTAATGATTGGTGCATATAATAAAATGTGTTTAAGTGTAACTTCTTAGAAGAGAAAGATCAGTTAAGGCCCACTGTTTTTCTGCCATTTTAATGAAATAAACTTAAGCAGACAGTGAAAATGTTTGTGCAAATTTGGGCAAAGATGAGCTAAATGAACGGTGTTAGTCATTTTTATTCAAACATTATAGTTTTTCCTGCAGTTTTTGGTTTTAATCAGGTTTGAAGTTATGTGTTCAATCAATCTTTTGGTTAAACCAACCAATCTAATTTGGCTGTGCTTTTACCCAATCTATTTTTATACCAGCGTAAACAAATACAAATTAGTCACATTAGCCTAAATGCTTGCTAAGTATTATCGCAACTGTGCTCAGATTTTAATCATTATATTGTTTTATATAACCAAAATAGTTTAAACCATCTAGATTGGTTGTTTTTCCAACCAATCTATTCTTAGAATCTATCCAAACTCTATCCGACTGACAGCAGCTGTCCTACAAACTCCCACATCTTGACCGAATACTGAGGCTGTTTAAATGACTGCTGAAGTTCTTGATCCCACTTCCTGATGCGGTCACCTGGTGTCACCTGGCTTTGAACATCATCATTTTTGGTCCCGCCCCTAAATAAATCACACCTCGACACGCACTTTGGCGTGCCTCATAACTAGGGGTGTGGGAAATAATCGTTTTGGCGATATATCGTGATATTCGGCTGCCCAATATAATATCGATCTTTCAGTTCTTTGTATCGATATTTTTTTTTTTAAATGGTTACATAAAACATTGATGGGGAAAATGGGCTACCTCTGCACCACCACTCTGGAAGAAACTGTGCGTGCAGCACCAAATCTGTATTTGAGGCAGTCGCAGTGGAAGAAAACCCCAATCAACATGGATAATAATACCTAATCAATATTTTCTGATGAAAATAGGGCTGGGCGATAATTCAATAACGATATATATCGACCGATAGACGTGTGGCGCAATAGAAAAAAAGAGGGTCGATAAAAGTTCGATAAAAAAGAAACGCAGTTTTCCTTCCTTCTCATTGTAGCCTAGCATGTAGGTTTATGCTAGTCAATACTTCCTCCTAACCAATCACAATCGCGGACCCAGGCACGCCGTCACCAAGCGCCGCCCTCTCAAACCACAACACAGAGCACATGAAGATGCAGCAAGGAGAGGCGGAGGAAATTGTTTCAAAGAAAGGTTTTTGTAGTTCGGCAGTCTGGCAGTATTTCAGTCATGGCAAGTCGGACAAAAAACAAACCACAGTCATCTGGAAAATGTGTCGGGAACCAGTGAAAACCAAGTCTGATAACGCAACCAACTTTTTTTTTTTTTTTTTTTTTATCATCTCAGCCGCTCACACCCGCAGGAGTACGAGCTGTGTAGGCCCCGCCGCGGCTCTCCTCCGAGGAATCTTCGGAAAATATATATATATTTTCAGTTCTGGGCAGTTTCCCACGTAGTTCTAACAATTGCGATAAAAATGCTGAGGGGCCAGAAACTTCAAAGTAATAACTCAGGTTAAAGCAGGAAACGGGGCGGTGGCGGTGGGGGGGCATTTATTTATTTGTTATATTTATTTTGGTCACTTTTCTGGTCACTTTAGTTTATTCTTTGTCAGTATTTAATAACATAACTCAGGTCTCTTAAGTTATTTTTCTTTAAAACAATTCTGTTATGGTTAAAAAAGTTGGTTAAATAAAGATTTAATTCGAAGTCTGTGTTTGTGTTTTTTATTAAAATTAAATCATTTAGCAATATTATAAAAAGTCCAGGCAGAGCTGCACATAAAATATGGTTTCAAATCTTTTCAATAATTATCGATATCGATCAATATGCATTTCTTTTTATCGATAAGCTTTTTTTCTTTATCGCCCAGCCCTAGATGAAAATATACAGCACTTGCTGTTTTATCTCATTATTTGATTTTGATAGCTGGGGAAAATATGGCAATATATAGTGATACTGCAATATCGTGATAATATCGTATCGTGACCCAAGTATCGCGACATGTATCGAATCGCAACACTCATGCCAATACTCACCTCTACTCATAACATCACTACTTGTTAAACTAAACTGCAAATGTTTAATAGTCATAGAAAGTCTAAATGTGTCGAGCTTAAATAATTAACCTGCGGTTCTAGAAGCTTCAGCAGTTCCAACCATAAATACTGAAAATATAGAAGAGAAGTTCTGGAGATGTTATGTGCTGGACGGTAATTATGGCTGGTTGGATGTTTCTGGTCTTCGTGGCTGAAGCTACTTTACAAGAGGAGAAGAAGAAACGCAGATTAGATCCAATCATTGATATTATGATCATAATTCTATGAGATCAGCAGATCTAACCTGCAGTGGTTCAGTTTCACTGTGGAGTCAAAGCAGAATATAAGCTGAGCTCTGCTGATATGCTGATACAGGTATAGACTTATAAAACCTAGATTAGAACAGTTCTTCTCACTCACAGGTTTTCTTCAGTCTCGAAGGAAAGAATTATTATCGTTCAGCTCTTTTTACTGGATGTTGAAAAAGGTGTTTTAATCCGGATATTTGATGATTGTTCACTTTTTAAATTTATTTTTTGGTTTTAAGATGGACAAAAAAAACAAAACATGAATGAAATCAAGAAGATTTCAGACCTGGAAAAAAATGCAAAATAGGATTTTTTGATTCAGTGGAGAGATGCAGCTTCTTTCCAATAAAGATTAGTAAATATAGACGGATGCATAATTTCTGTTTACTTCTATCTAAAATCATACTGAGAGATATGCTGCTTTAAATTCTGAAAATAAAGTCATAATATTATCAAATTACGTTGTAATACAACCAGAATAATGTCAAGTTTCAAGAATGAAACTAGGACTGAAACAATTAATCTGATTATTTGATTATTAAATTAATCATCAACTAATTCAGAGATCAATGGTTAACCTGAGTATCGAGACACTAAAAAATTCCTTTATCTGATAGAGCCACACACTTAGAGCAGGAATTACACCAACATTATTAAAAAAGTAAAAATTTTGCATTTAAGATAAAAAAAAAAATTTTGTTCTGTCTATATCCTCTATCCAGAACTGAAATGGAAAAGTTTTAGTATCATCTTGTATAATTTAGCAAAAAATCTTCTTCTTGGAACCCATGCCTATCCGATTATTAGTCGAGAAAATGATCAACAGATGAATCAATTTGCAAAATAATTGTTAGATGCAGCCGTAGGTGAAACACAGTCCTGGTGCGGCTAATAGTGGTAATAATTGTTAAAAAGAAACGGGAATGTTTCTGTCTTCCAGCATAAAGCCGGATGGGCTCCATGCTAACCTGCTCAGTCTCTCAGCTTCTGCTTATTAAACCTCAGATTTTCTTTGCTGATTATCTGGTTGAAACTGGTTCTTACCGGGTTCACTGCTGGTCCATGTTTAACCCTCTGATTGTCATCCATATTCTTTAACCACATGCATCATGGCTCAGGTCAGTAGTAGTCGCGCTAAGCGGTCGCTAGCTACAAGCAGCAGGACCTGGAAACGGGAGCAGACGGGTTTGGTTCCGGTTTCAGGAGACGCTCTGAAGCAGAACGGCCAAAGACTGATCATCTCTCCTTCTGTGTTCTGCTCTGATTCTCTCACAGGCAGTTCTGTCTGGAGCTCAATGGACTTGCTGTTAAGCTGCAGGTGAGTTTTTCTGTCCTTAAAGCTGTGGGTCGCATACCTGTTGGTTTGTTTCCTCTCCAAGGTGATTCATGTTTCCTTTAGGCCAGGGGTGCGCAACCGTTCATGTCCAAAGAGCCATTCTGCCCAGAGTCCGACCAAGTAAATGCTGATAGAGCTGCAAAGTTTTAGTTGCATTCTTAAACAACCAGCTATGTATGCATTTTTAGCTTTTAAAATAATATTAAAACACATAAATTCAAAGCTAATTATAAGGAAAATGGCTCTAAACAAAATCTATTTCTGGTTCTTTTAATGTCCTTCTTATCCATCTTATAAAAACCCCTAAAGCTTTTAAGAAGGGTATTTATTTTGTCGTACATAATTTAGCTCTCATTTTAGCTCATATTAAGAGCCGCTGTAGAGGGTCCAAAGAGCCGCAGTTTGCAGACCCTCTGCTTTAGGCTCTTTGAAATAGTTGGAATAAACATTCTGCTTCTTTACTTCACCTTTACTCAGTCTGATTGTATTTAATTCATGAATAGAAGCAATCTCTCTCCGGTGGGACAGTAATCACCGACTAAATAAATGATGAAGCGTTTGTGTCCTTCTCTCCGCCTGCAGAGCGAGTGCCATCCTGACACCTGCACTCAGATGACAGCCACAGAGCAGTGGATCTTCCTATGCGCCGCCCACAAGACGCCCAAAGAGGTGTGCTCCGTCTGCGGGTCATAAAGCGCTGCTTCATTGCTGGAAAGCTTGTTTTCATTGATGGATGTTGTGTTTTGCCGCCATCACAGTGCCCCGCCATTGATTACACCAGGCACACGCTGGACGGAGCTGCCTGCCTTCTCAATAGCAACAAATATTTCCCCAGCAGGTCAGTGACTGACGCTTAAAGCCTGTTCTGTTTAGATGGGAACATGTCAGGATGCGGATCGCTGTTCTGTGAAGAATCCATTCACAACAAAAAGCAACGTTTAAAGCAAAGCGAGTCGTAGGATTTGCTCTAAATTAGGAGGAACTCTGCCTTCTTTCCCAAGCTGCTCCTGCTTTGTTTGGGCTCTGATGTCCGTCAAACCGACACTTGGATCCGGTTAAAGGCTTCCTTCTGATTTCTTTACTTTTTCTTGTTGCTGATAAATTCTCAGCATTAATCGAGAGTCATTAGGATGTAGAATTGGTTCTGCTGTGGCCCTAACGGCAGGAAATGCTGCTTTCAGGAGCATCAGGGAAAACTAAGCCTCCATTTGTTCACATGTATATTCATATTTTTACTGTATTTATTTCCCATGAAGGGAAAGAAACGCAGACTGTAAACAAGAAGATCCTAAAAAATCGGACACTTTTTTTTAAATATTAGATTAGATTAACTTTATTTTCCCAAAGGAAATCTGATTTATTTTATATCAGATTTTCATCAGATTATTTCAAGGCTTAAAATTTTTGAAATAATCTTTCAGTAATTTTTTTTAAATGTCTTTATATTTATATATATATATATATATATATATATATATATATATATATATATATATATATATATATATATATATATAAAATTTCTTCCTAGTGTAGTTTTCCTTCTGTGTTAATAAGCTAAAAATGAGTTAAAGTGTTTCTTTTCAGTAAACGAAGGGACCCTGCCGCTTCCTGTAAGTTGTACGTTAGTAGTTTACTCCAGTGGTCCCCAACCACCGGGGACAAATATAACTCAGGCAATCTCTCCTCCGCTGCAGCCGTGCAGACAGCATCATGAGACTGCAGTAAAGTTGGCAAAATATGCACAGATTCGGCTTTTCCAGATTAACTCGTCGTTGGATGATTTATTCTACAAAACAGACACCTCTCCGTAACCACAGCAAGGCAGACAGTGAGCTACAACTGTAGTTTCCTCAAAGCGAGTCTCTTATCATGCTGGGAGATTTACATTGGACTCTATGCAGAGCTCGCTGCTTAGGGACCGTCTGTAAGTTGCAAATTAATCAGAGAGAAATATTCAAAAGCGTCACCAAGGAGAGGTGGATTATTATCACATTCATTTCATGTGTATCTCATGTCTTTCATACCACATTTATTGGATTGGAAAATAATACTTTGAGGAATTTCCCAAAGCCTAAATGACAAATGGCACCTCTGTTTTATTATTAGAATAAGTATAAAAATAGCAATGGCTACACTATAGATCACTGTAGTGCCTCCAAACATAGATAACCTCATCTAGTTCACACTACAACTCTTACTTTGGGGAAAATGTGCTAAACTCTATTTTTTAAAATGTTTCACTGTTATTATGAGTATTTAAAAGTCAATAATTACTTATAACTTAGACAGATTTATTTTGTCATTTTTATACACAAGTGTAAACAAAAGGACATTTCATTTAGAACAGCTCTAGAGAATTTCATATGTTAAAGTGCAGCTTTGAAAACAGTAATAAATACATAAAACTAGTTATATAAACATATGACTGTATATTTACAGTTCTAACATTCTTTTCTTTCTTACTTTGGGAAGATAGGCCAAACTGTATTTTTGGAGATTTATTCATTGTTATTATAAACATATAATAGCCAATAATTACACTATAGATCATTGTAGTGCCACATAACTTGTAGCACACATTGATAACCTCATCTAGATCATACTACAACTCTTACTTTGGGAAAATGTGCTAAACTCTATTTTTTTTTAAAGATGTTTTCATTGTTATTATAAGCAGGCCAGGTGTTCAATCTCTGCAACAGGAAGCACAGCACTGAGCGTTGTGTGCGCTGCACTAAGTATACCTGTCACACATGCAGGAAGGACTCACCTTGGGTTTTTAAAATTGTAGCTTCATATGTAGAGCTTTTCCTTGGGTGGAATAAATGTTACTGCTATACTGAAGTCATACTGTTTGTCATTCTTTAAACTGAAATGTTGAATGACGTGAAAAGGCGAAAACAGACAAAATCCAATTATTCTCTACGTTTCTTTCACATAGTGAGCTTTGCAATACAAATGAGTCTGTTGGTGAATGGACAATATAAATAGGCTCTGCCTTGCCCTGTTGGAAAAGCTGGTTATGACCTATTCTCAGCTCAGGAACTAGGACCCGTATGATGATATCTGGTTGTTCAATAGGTTTGCCTAAATAAAAGATTTAGATATGACTTATCAAGATATTCCTGCAAAAAGGTCTGATGTTGCAGGGGAAGGTAATGAAAAGTGTTTGGAGCATGCTCTGGTTCTGATGCCAGTTTGTTTCAGGCTAAGGCCCCGTCTACACGAAGTCAAACCCTGGCCTAAACGCACACATTTTTCACCAAACCAGCCTCTCATCCATACGAAGCCGGCGTTTCGGGGGTCTGTAAACGATCTTTTTTTTATTCAGCCTTCAGAGTGGGAAGATTTTGAAACGCCGTTTTCGCGTTTCCATCTTTAAGCTCTAACTGCATTTTTTTTTTCTTACACGCATGCGTCATAGCGTCGCCTCTAAACACGCATGCGCGACACAGTATCACAACAACAATGGCGCCGTACTGTGTTGAATGGTTGCTGCTCATGCTACTCGCCCTGCTGTCGGGCTTACATCAGAATCTTCTTCTTCTGGAATATCTCCAGGAAGAACAGAGCAATATGGACCACATAGTTCAGCACCTGAATTTGACTGAACCACCAAAATGGACCCGCAGGGCAACCATGTATAAATATTAGTGCGCATGCCCAACATTTCGTCGCCTATTTTTGCTTTGGCACCACAGCGCCACTTACAGGCCTGGCATACATTTTGCAGCGTTTTCATGCATTCGTGTGGACGATCACATTTATTTTACGTCTCCGTCTTTACGACAACCGTTCTGGAAAATATTAGCGTTTCCTGTTCGTTTTGACTTCATGTGGACGGGGCCTTTATCCAGTCTCATGTAGAAGGGCTGGTCATATCACAGGTTATTTATTACAACAAGGACAGTTGGCAAGGTAGAGTGAATACACTAACTTTAAGAGGGGAGGGGGTCTTGCAGGAAAACTGGAATTCTCTGGAACTTCTAGTGTTCAAACGTGCCTTTAGCTGACAGAGCGACCCACTTAGAGCAGGAATTATACAAAGATTGTTAAAAGAAAAACATTTTGCATTGAAGATAAACAAAATATTTTCTTTCAATTTGCTCTATCCAGAACTGCTTAACTAGAAAAGTTTTCGTGTCATTTGTTTTCATTTTTAAAAAGTCTTTAAGGAACCTTTGGCTATCCGATAATTAATCAAACAACTGAAAAAAATAGTTGACAGATTAATCAATTAGTAAAATAATGGTTATTTGCAGCCCTAGATGTACTAATTACTGCCAGCAGATGGCGATGATGCTCATTGTTTATCTCTGCTGATGCAAAAATCATTTCATGTTCAAAAAGCAAACAGTGTCGGGATGAATGCTTGGATTATATCCATTTATTTTAATACAAACATTTGGCTTTTGGTGTCTCCTTTCATATAGACGGTGACTACGCCCCTTTAATGCGGTTTGCATCTTTTGACCTAGAATGGGTTTACTGACTGCGCTCAATCATAGAACAGGTCTCAGTTTATCAAACTGATAGAAAACTATTTATTTTAGAAGCTTTAAAAAACAAACAAATGTCCTAGTTATTTTATTTTTTAAATCTCCCTCTGTTGGGATGAGGGTTTTGCTTCTGTGGTTGAACTGGGACCAGTTTCTCAGCATGTCTGGTTTGTGTTGCAGGGTGAGCATCAAAGAGTCATCAGTGGCCAAGCTGGGCTCCGTCTGTCGCCGCATCTATAGGATATTTTCTCATGCCTACTTCCATCACCGCCAGATATTTGACAAGTATGAGGTGAGCCTTAAGGAACCGCTGGCTTTACTTTGACCCTCAGTCAGCGCGTCCTCGTCTGACCTCTGGTCTTTCTAAATAAAGTCATTTTAAGCCCTTATGCTTCAGGAAGCAGAGAGGAAAAAGTTTGACAGCTGGAATAAACCAGTCAGACCATTAGGAGGCGTAAACCTGGTGACCAGTTTGTCATGGAGGCTCCCGCCGGCAGCCGTGGATGACTGATCAGATCTAATACTACCTCAGACTAATAATCCCCGTCTGAAAGGATTGTCGCTGATTAGGATTAGCCGTCTGAAGTCTTAGCTTCTACCCCGGGACCTTTGGTCCCCGTCCAATCAAAGTCTGTCATCTCTACTGGATCTCCCCGTGAAATCAGTCAGTCTGGGAAATACGGACACAGACTGGATGCTGCTTCTACTCCCAGTTCACTTTATAAAAACTCAAAGATTGACTTCTTGGTCTCCGACGCTGCTCTGTCATTTAATCCCTCCGTTAAAACAAACTAAATCCCTTCTGGTTGCTCAGCACAGTCTCCTCATGGAGGGTCTGCAGACTTGTCTCTATGGTTCGGTCTTTGGTTTTTTTCGTTTCAAAACAAAAACGAAAAAACAAAACAAGCATGTGGTTTTTTGTTTTTCCGTTTTTAAAACGAAATTAGAAAAGCGGCATTTGCAAAAATGAAAAAAGGGTACGTTTTGGGATTTTTTTTAACTGCAATGGTTAAACCAAAGACGTACTTTTATTTTGTTGTTAATTCAACGGACCTTATGGCAGAACCGGAAATGAAGACCTGAACTCCCAACACATAACTTTTTAAGTTACCAGTAGGTGGCGGAAACGTACGCCTTCAATTTCTTGCCAACCGCCATTACAATCCACAAGATGAACCTTTTCAGTTAGCAGTACGGTTGAAGTGCAGCCTTTGCCTTTTGTTTAGGAATGGTTTGTTTTGATGCCGTCTTCATTGTAAATGATTTTTCTTTGGCGACTTACTTCATTTCGGGTACCGCTACATATTAAAACAACAACCGTATTTTATTTTCATTTAGATGGCAAAACAAAACTCAATCGTTGTTGATTTTCTATTAATTCAATTTTTAATTTTTTCGATTTAGGTTTTAAAAACAGGAAAACCACATGCGTGTTTTGTTTTTTTGTTTTTGTTTTGAAACGAGAGAAAAACCAAAGAATGATCCATACAGGGATTCGTCTGCCTGAAACGTCTCTTTTGGTCGTTCCTTCCTGCTGGAGTCGCTCTGTAGTTGGAGCCACATGAGCAGCTGAGGTGTCGCTGCTGCTGCTGAGTCAAAACAAAAAACTTTAATCGTAATAATACAGCTTTAGCTGCTAACTGGAAACCCGTTTGCAAACTAGAAAACGATGCTGTAAAATATGTTTGTGTAGCAGATTAATATGAACTATTTCTAATGAGGGGAGTGGCAGATGCGGCGGTTAGTGGTTAGAGCACAGAGCCTGGAATCTGAAAGAATAATTATGGAAGGAAATCTGTGTCGCTGGGATTTGAATTAAAAATGCTACTGAAATTTAAATGTTGTACGTTTGTTCTTACTGTTTCAGTGTTTAAATATATTCAGAACACATTTTTAACCTAAAAAGAAATTCATTGTCATTATTTCTACAAACTTGAAATTTCATTTATTTTCTCTTCAAGCTAAAAATTCATTCACATTACTATTTCAAAGTGATAAAATTTTCAATACTTATTTTTCAGTTAAATTTTTCAGTGTTAAAAAAATCTGCATATAAAAAAATTCAACCTTTTAAAATTCAAACTCAATATGTTCAGCCTCCTGAGATTCAACTGGCTCTATTTCACCGTCTTAAATTCGGCGTCTAAATTCAGTGTAAAAAGGGAAGGGTTACTTCAGGTCACAGACATTAGCAATGGATTGTGGCGTCCAACACCCAGCCAGTCCCGTTACGTTTTCTTAGTCACGTGACGTGACGCTTGTGGCGCTCATACTGAAGGAAAACCAGCAACACTGAGTCCTTTTTGGACTTTATGACCTCAACAGTACTAAGACTAGACCAAATGGAACTTTCATTATTAATCTGATTATTCTCTTGGCAAAATTCTACATTCATAAATGTAATTTACACATTCCAAAATATCATTTATTGCTTTTAACAATGAGGTCAAGCAATATGTCAACACGATTAAAGGATAATTCCGGTTTTTAACACTTTTAGCCCATTTTCTGTAGTGTCCAGGATGAAATCGAATGATCGTCACCAAAATTTTGACGATTGTTCCTGTCTCTGCTATTTGGCTCATGCAGAATCCCCCCCTGGCTGCTTCAGAATGGCTTCCATAGTGCATGTCCGATAATGTCCTTAAAACAACCTTAAACGTTCTTTTTTTAAAATATGCTACTCACCGGGTCGTCAGCGCTGTTCAATGACGTTCCAAAAAAAGTTTTGTGAAGAAAAACCGTTCCTGTCTTGTTTTATTTAGCATTTTGTAAATCCCAGAACAATTTTTTCCGATACATCACAACCGCTTATAAACTTCCGCTTCCCGTTCGAATCTGAAGCGTTGCACACTCCAGACCACTAGTTGGCGACGGTATCCTCTACAGTCAAACTCAAAGTCCAATATGTCCTCCTCAAGAATCCACCTTTCGTATTCCATTTTCAGAGTTTTTTTAAGTGTTTAACAGAGACGTTAGCACCTCGACGTCGGAGTACACAGAGTGAAGCAGAAACACTTGGGCCTTGCGAAAAGACTACAACTGTGTAAACAGGCCCCATTTCCGTTTCCGGTGGCGAAGGGATATTGACTATTCCAACAGAACTCAATGGGATTTACAAAATGCTAAATAAAACACTACAGGAACGGTTTTTCTTCACAAAACTTTTTTTGGAACGTCATTGAACAGCGCTGACGACTCGGTGAGTAGCATATTTTAAAAAAAGAACGATTAAGGTTGTTTTAAGGACATTATCGGACATGCACAATGGAAGCCATTCTGAAGCAGCCAGGGGGGGATTCTGCATGAGCCAAAAAGCAGAGACAGGACCAATCGTCAAAATTTTGGTGTCGATCATTCGATTTCATCCTGGACACTACAGAAAATGGGTTAAAAGTGTTAAAAACCGGAATTCTCCTTTAAGTATTCTCTTAATCAAAAGGCAACAAAAACTGTAAATGTGTGTAAACAATTTAATATCTTTTTATAAGTTGTACTTTCCCGGCAAATTGTGAGGATTTTCATTTCTGTTTTTAGTTTTTTGTTAAAAAACCAGCAATGTTGGATACTGCACAGTATAGACTGACACGGGAGTTGATTTTCACTCCTGTCCCGTCCCACTCCCACAGAAAAAAATGGTGTCCCGTCCCGATCCCGGGCCAGAGTAGAAATCTAAATCCTGTCCCGTCCCAGTCCTGGTTAAATTACTCCCACTCCCATCCCGCTCCCATTCAGAATGACTCCCGCTCCTGAACCACTCCCATTCTTGTTGTTTTTGAGCGCGGGTGAAAAACTCAGAGCGGAAGTTACTATTGGTTTGCTCCCGCTCCCGCCTGCTCCCGTTAATGTTTAATCCTGTACCGTCCCAATCCCGTGATCGTTACTAATACTGACTCCCATCCCACGGGAATCCCACGGGAATCCCGTGACCCGTGGGATTCCCGAAAAAATGTCAGTCTCTACTGCACAGTGTAATATTTTCTCAATGGAGACAAATGTTGTATTTTTGTACGGAAGAGGATTAGGGCCACTGAGAAAAAAAAAAAAAGTAAACTGATTTTTAAATTTTATTTCAGTTTAACATGGGGAAAAAAGTCAGAATTCTGAGATTAAAGTCAGAATTCTGACTTTTTTCTCAGAATTCTGACTTTTTTTCTCAGAATTCTGAGATTAAAGTCAGAATTCTGACTTTTTTCCCATAGTATACTGAAATAAAATTTAAAAAACCGTTTACTTTTTTTTTTTTTTCCAGTGGCCCTAATCCTCTTCCGTAATTTTTGTAAAGTGTGCAATTGTTGAATAAAAAAAAACAAAAAAAAAACAAACAAATAAAAAACACGGAGCCGGTCATGCAAGCTAACGCTAACTCAACGGTGAGTTTATTACTTTCATTTTTCTGTAGTTGAGTTAGCGTTAGCTAGCATGACCGGCTCCGTCATGCTGGTTTTCCTTCCGTATGAGCGCCACCTGTGTCACGTCACGTGACTAAGAAACCGTAACGGGATTGGCTGGGTGTTGGACGCCACAATCCATTGCTAATGTCTGTGACCTGAAGTAACCCTTCCCTTTTTACACTGAATTTAGACGCCGAATTTAAGACGGTGAAATAGAGCCAGTTGAATCTCAGGAGGCTGAAAATATTGAGTTTGAATTTTTTTATATGCAGATTTTTTTAACACTGAAAAATTAAACTGAAAAATAAGTATTGAAAATGAAATCACTTTGAAATAGTAATGTGAATTTTTAGCTTGAAGAGAAAATAACAAATGAAATTTCAACTGTGAAATAATGACAATTAAATTTTTTTAGGTGAAAAATGTGTTCAGGATATATTTTAACACTGAAACAGTAAGAAAAAAAACGTACAACATTTAAATTTCAGTGGCATTTTTAATTCAAATCCCAGCGACACAGATTTACCTCCATAATTAATTGATTCAATGAGAATAATAAAGAGATGAAACCACAGGGTTTCGTCGTACAGTGTGAGCTGTAGCTGCGCACAACGATTGAAAAAATTACAGTGTATACGCCCGGCTTAACAGAATAATGACGCTGAAAGCGTCCGTTCTGTTTTTATTTAGTTTTTCTTTTTAGATCAATATTCCTCATTAGGTTGGAAACTCTTTTTAATCATTTTATAAAAATATTTCATCTTCTTTTTGCATATTTTTCCTTCATTTTCAAACCTTGAAGTGGAAATATATCAGTGTTTATTTAAAAGTAACTCATGGCAGATATTTATCAATAATCCTGATTTCTGGTCTTATTAACGGTTTTATTTATGAAATGATTTATGAATGATGGTCTGCAGAAGCCTGGACTAGAAGGACATTTGATAATTAAGGTCAAATGTTAATCCTCTTTAAGTTAACAATCAAAATATATCTAGACTCCATCGGTTTAACATTTACTTTTAATTCATCAGAAGAAAAAAAACTGCTTAAAAAAAACAGAAATGAGGGAAAGGAGGTTGTGTCAGAGAAAAGTATAAAGACAAAGACGTCCCGTTATTTCAATAACTAGAACAGTTTGTAATCCTAACTGGACCCGAGCAGCAGGACTTGGTTCTGGTCGCCTCCTTACAGCTGTGATGATGTGTCTCTGTGTGCAGAACGAGACGTTCCTGTGTCACCGGTTCACGCGCTTCGTGATGAAGTACAACCTGATGTCCAAGGACAACCTGATAGTTCCCATCCTGGAGGAGGAAGTCCAAAACACCTCATCGGCTGGCGAGAGCGAGGCCTAACGGCGGCGGCCGGAGGGGAGGCGCGCGTACGCTCACCATATCTATACAGTACCGAGGAGACGCACTCATTCTGCATAAATATCTATGAATATATGTATAGACACACTACAGTGTATTGAGACTCCTCGTCTGCAGACACTGTCCTCGTTAAGCTACCAGGGGCAGGCTAGCATCCATATTATCGGTTTATGTTCCGCTTTTCACGTTTCTGACCCGCTTTGTCTGCCTGGTTCAAACCACGCCCCCCCCCCCCGATCAGGTCCCAGATTTTAGCCATTAGCTTCTCCAGCCGGCTGGTTACACAGAAACCCGGCTGGCTCCACTGATCTGCTCCTCGCTCCGGACATGGTGGCTTGTTCCTTTTTTAAGCAGTTGGATTCGCCTCAGTTTATAAGTGACTTGCATTAATGCCCCCCCTGTATATACAGTCCAGTTCTATTCCTGCTTCTCTTGTGTTGCTGGGCTTTCTGCTTTGGGTCGGGGTCGCTCTGTGAATGGGAGGGGTTCATTTTCCTGCTCTGAAACAAACGTAGATGTGATGCTTGTGTGGTAGTGAGCGTACCTTCACCTTGTAGCTCCGTCTGTGAACTAGCAGTGAGATGTTCTTTAGAACGGCTTCTTATCGGACCCCCCCACCCCCCCGAAGCGTGCACCGCTGCAGGAGCAGCCCGTCATCATGAGCGCCGTGCTGAAGGAGGAGCATCGGCAGCATGAGGCGCCAGAGCACAACCCACTTCCTGCCTTCTTTAACCCTCTTCCTCGTTAAGTTATTGTGTGTGTGGGGTGGGGGGGGGTCTCCTTGGTCCAACCCACTGTTTGTTTTTTAAATGGACTAAAAATTTTGTTACTGTTGACATTTTCATGATGTCTGTTAATAAAAAATGAGCTATTATTCATACGGTCGTGTGGCTGTTCACTGACGCACCAACAGATTCTGCAAACAACCAGAAAACTTGTTAGCATCTTAGTTTTATTGCTGTTTATCATAGACATGATGTATGCAGACGCCTCATTGGATGCTGGCCGACACGCCTAGAGGGCAGCCATCTTGAATCAGACCACTGCTGTCAGGATGAATATTAATCACATGGAAGACGAGTCGGAGATATTACAATCTCTTACATTTCACCACTTAAAACTAATTCTAAGATATAAATATATAAATGACACATTAACTGATTAAAGAACAAATGTTCACATAAATAATAAAAAATCAGTTTTAAAAAGTTGACACGGGTCATGACAAAAAAATTAAAGAACTTCTCTTGTAAATCACAAACGCATTTTCTGGTATAGATCAGAATACTCATTATCAAAGGGCAATCCTTAAAAATAATGGATCAACCTATATATTTTTAATACAATCATATTAATATTTAATATCTTTAAATAGTTAAAATTATTTTCAATCTGAATATGTTTAATCTAACTGAAGGTCATTTTAAATTTAGTTTTGGTCTTTTAAGCGGTGAAATGTCAGATTATTGTTTAAGAAAGAATAAACAGGGAAATAAATGGATTATAGAGGAGAAGCGGGGGCAGAAGAAGGAAGGATTTTCTCCTTCCTGGGAGCTGGAAGCATCTTCCTGAAGCTCCAGACTGAATATATTCACACCCAATGAACCTTTTTACATTTCATCAGGGTTTAATATGCTGATGCTTTATTGGCATTTAATGTAATGAAGCTTCACAAGTTTAATTGGTAACAATCAGTGTGATGAAGAGCAGGTAACAACTGAGGGCCTTAAGCCAGAGGAGCGTCTTCCAGAGAGACACATGGAGGTTACTCTGGAGGAGCTGCTGAGATCCATGGCTCCTGTGGGACAAGATGTGGACGGCACCTCTATTAGAGGAGCTGAACGCTTCATGAATCTGGTCTATATGGAAGAGAGACGGAAAAAAACGAAATCTTTCGTTTGCAGTTTGTTGTTTGCTGGTAAAGATTCTCAGTCATCCTGGGGCCTGTTTCAATAAGGAAGTTCAACCAACTCTGAGTTACAACTTGAACTCTGAGTTGACTTATCCTGAGATTGGAAACTCTGAGTTTTGGGTTTCAGAACAGCTGAAATGAGTTAGTTCAATCAACTCTAAATTGACTGACTCTGAGTTAAGCGTGTGCACCACAACTATAAAAAGCCATTATCAATGAAGCACAGATATTACGAGTCACCATGGCAACAGCGTCAGACAAAAAAAGGTGTGCATATTTCTCACCAGCAGAACTGGATGTGCTTATGCAAGCATATGCAGAATTTGAACATGTATTTAAAAAAAAAAGCAACACGGCTGCAGCGGCGAAGGAGAGAGAGTTAGCTTGGGTGAAAATAGCTGCTTGAGTCAATGCATAAGTTTACATTTTAATTACTTTTATACAGTGTTGGGTGTAATGAATTAAGTTACTTAAGTCATATAAATACTGTAATTAAATTAAAGACTATAAAACAATAGTGGATTTAATATCAAATTTTAAAAGGTATATTTTGATTTGAACTTTCTCCCTCTAGTTACACACTTTGGTCAATTTAAGATTAATTCATGCAATTGAATATTGTTTATTTGAAAGCATTAGAAGTGCAGTTTCTTGTCTGTCCTTGTATTGTTCAAGTGGTTGAGGTTGATTTGGGATTTAGAAAGTAATTAATAAGTAAGTAAAACAAATGAGTAAGTAGACCAATACTTTCTAGAGACAGTAATTATTACATTAATCTAATTAGACTTGTTGAAGATAAAATTTGTAGTTAGTAATTAAGAACTATTTTAGAGTAACTTACCCAACTGTTATAATATCAGAGGTGAAACTGGAAGAACAGTATTTTATTAAACCTAATTTAGTTTTCATGGATAGGTGCAATCCTGCAGGCATCAAAAGAACATGGCAGCAGCTGAAAATGAAATATAAAAACATACTTCAAGCAGGTAAGCCTTGAGCACATCATGGGAGTAGAGTAGCTACCTGGCTTTACAAACAGGATCATCCATTAAAGGACATGCCATTTCATTCCCTTTGATGCGCTCTACGTGACTGAAATGTGTGCAATGAATATGTCCCCAAAGAATCAATGAGGTGTTTAAACACCACTTCCTCTTTAAAAAAGTGGAGGAGACCAAAATAAACTCTGGATTTTCTGAAGAAAACCTGCTCCTGACCAGGTTAGGTTCACAGAGTAAATTCCCATGGTAACTGACTCTGAGTATAAGTTACCTCTCTTTCAGAAACGGGCTTGACTTACTCTGCTTTCTCAGGTTTAACTTACCTCCCTTTCTGAAACAGAAAACCCAGAGTTTCCCTCATTTCAGGGTTAACAAACTCAGAGTTTTCACTTAACCTCCTTTCTGAAACAGGCCCCAGGTCAGAGTCATTCCAAAAAAAGTTCAAAACAATCCCCTGGACTTTGTTTCCAATTTTGAAGATGTTTCGCTTCCCATCCAGGAAGCTCTTTCAACAAAAAAAAAAAAAATAATATATATATATATATATATATATATATATATATATATATATATGAAAAAGCTTCCTGGATGGGAAGCAAAACATCTTCAAACTTGGAAACAAAGTCCAGGGGATTGTTTTGAACTTTTTTGGATTTACAGTTTGTTACAAACCATGGAGAAGAAACATCTGGCCTACATCCATGTTTTTTAACCTAAACACAATGTGTGATGTTGACGATACCCTGATCACTGTAAAATATGGCAGTGGCTGCATGATGCTGTGGGATGCTGGACAGGAATGGGTTGGAGGTTTATATTCCAGCAGCTAGAGCTGTGAGACAGGAGAGAATGGCCTAGTCAAAGTTCAGATGAGGAAACCTGTGGCAAGACAAATTATTTCTTCTTTTTTAAGAAATAACAGATGAAAAAAAGGAAAGGGAGGAAAAGTAAGATGAGAAAGTAGAAAAGGGAAAAATAATAATAGCAACAAAAAACAATATAGAAAAAAAAATTACAAAAGAAAGATGAAAGTGAAAAAATGAAAATGGAAAAAACCCAGAAAAAGGGAAAAGCTTAAAAGCAAAAAAAAAACCAAACGCTTTTAATCTGAGATATTCTGCAAGGATCACTCAATTCTTTAAATCTTCATAGCGGCTTCATTCTGCAGCGATATGCCCAATGAGGAGGCAGAGGGACTGAAAATAGATCCACATCACATAGAATACATTAAATCAGGTCCATGTAAAAGGAAATGTGTGAAGTTCCAGTGGGATCCTTGTTTTAAGGCAGATCCACAGAATGGAAGAACATCGTAATCAGACAAAGCCTGATCTTAGCCCTAATATTCAAACATTTCTGCAACAACAATGTTTTTTTGTTTTTTTTTTTGTTTTCACTAAATCATTTTCAGTGGATAACAATAATGGATGCTGGAAAATTCGCCCTTAAAATAGATCAGTTTCTTATATTACAGAGGAAGTTGATCTCCTGATGAGGAGCCGTTACTGTTTGAGGCGCCAAACGTCTTCAGACTGCAGGAGGTTTGTGGAAAAACGCTGGGAGGTAAAGATGGAGAATCCGATCTGTCAGGAGACGCAGCAGCTTTTCCTTCTCATCATCAGACCCGAATAAAAAGCTTTATGGCTTCATCAGAACAAAAGTCCAGTCTCTTTTCTTCCCTCTGGGTCTCACATGCAGGTGACCTCGGCCTTCCCCTCCTCCTGCTCAAGGCCCCCCTCCTCCAGGTGGGACAGGGAGCTGGAGAAGCCGCCCCCGAACACCGGGAAGCCCCCGATGCCCCCCGCGGTGGGGGAGAGGTCGTCTGTGGGGGCGGAGCGGCTCGACACATCGCTGTGCGCCAAAGCCGTCTGTGGAGACAGAAGAAAATAACAAAGTAAATATTTGGTCTTATTGACGCTACATTTCCTAAAAAAAGGAAAACTTTTCTTTAATAAAGCGTATTTGTTTCAGATCAAACTCATTTTAATCCTAACCTAACCTGAGAACATCGCAGTAAAATGATCCAAAGCACAACAGCAAGTCTGAGAGGACGATGTTTTATTTCGGGGTGGATCATCTCAATCAGTGGTCCTCCTAACTGTCAATCATTCTGTTTATATGTTTACGTAAGGCCGTCCTATGTGCTCGTCCCATTAGCTATATTTTTCAGTGCCCTTTCAGGCGTATATTTGTGGTGAGCTACAGGCAGTCATTGAAGCTCA